TTATTTAAAAAAAGAAAAAGAAATTCAAACTATTTTCGTATAACCTTTGGAAATTGAGTAACCTTTTTCGATTTGGAAACTTTTTTTTTTAAACTGCATCTTTATTGGTATTCAAATCGCCTTCAGGGTTACTCAATTAACAAAACGCCATACGTTTGTTTCTCCATTTTGATACAAAATCTTATATTTTTTAAACGTTTTATTATTAATACGCTAATTTTCGATATTTATGTAACAAAATATATTTCTATTAACTAGTAATAAATCTGTTTAATACTATTTCGCGAATTTTGATCTACTTGATTCGAAAAGTTAAGTGACAATATATTAAAAAAAAACGTTTGGAGATTATAACCTATGAAAACAGTATTACTATTTATTTAAATCTTATTACTATTATGAAAGGGAAAACAAGACTAAATACACAAATCTAATTACAAAAATCTAGCCGTAATTAATTTAATGTAACGAACTGCCATCCTGCCGTCTACGTATCGAGTGCAAAGCACTGACATATAAATTCTCAATAAGTAATCAAAAATATTTTATGGTACTTAATTTAAACTACCTACGTACGTAACATCTAAGTAAAGAAATAGCTTAGAGTAAGGAAGGAAGGAAAAGGAGTGTATTATTATTTATTTATTTTATATTACATTCTCAAGATCACATTTCATATATAACACGACAACGTCACATCAAGTACTTTTCTAAATCGTTCATTAAGTAAACTCGGGCAATCTCAAAGCCTCGTTCGTCTTTATAAGAAACCTTGCGGATTACTCTCAAAAACAAACAAAAAGAAAATTAATTGTCTTCGTTATTATTGATTCGTGAACATAAATACGACGATAGACTGAAAATAATTAAAGTTTCATTTTGTTGGTTGGTAGGATTATAAACGATTTTTTTATCAATTTCAATACTATTAGGATAATTTGAATGAACAATATGAGGAGATTAGTATACAGCGTTCGAAATTGTTTTTTCCTAACTATTCTAGTAACTTCGAAGGGTTATTCTAGATTCCCCCGCTAGCAGATGAGCTCACAGGGCTCAAACCTGACGACGTTGCTAACACGAACCCTAGCAAGAGCCGTGCTTCGCAGAATCTACCATCGGATCAACACTGTGGACTGTGTCTGAGGGTTAATTTACTCGAGCCCTTCGTCGCAAGCGACGGGTTCGACGAGAACGATGACCGGTGCTTGAAGTACCTAAAAGCACCGTTAGTGGATCGGGAGGATCCGAAATGACGTGTTCGAACAGTCTGAGGTGGTTGTGAACCGACTTCAATCGCAACTGAACTGTGTATATATTTAATATTCGAGCATACACGAAAGCACTCGTTTTACGTGGGCTATGGACAATTAGCACATTGTGTAAAACGAAACGCTGTATTGTTTCTGAAACGTTTCAATAAACGTTGTCGGTTTAGCTGATTTATTATTTGTTTTCGTACTTATTATTCATTGTCAATTACTAACCGACTATAAGAAGAAAACGTGACTAAAGTTTACTTTAATTTACAAAAAAAAAAAACTTGAATTCGAGTGTTGAGAAAGCTATTTGGTTTAAGCGACATTTAACTTTGCAATTAAATTATTTGTTTTAATTGAATTTCAATTAAGTTAACCCCATTAAAATAGCTGAATAAGTATTTTTGTTATGAAATTTGCGTATTGAATTGGTCGTTGTCATAACAGATTTTCGGACTACGACGTGAAATAACTTAGTAAACCCGAAATTGTTCCCTGAAGTTGTTGACAACATTAATTAAGGGACTGACCAACTTTACTGCCTAATTTATAATAACTTCTTGAAAAAGCTGGCAATAATGAGAAATTCGACTTGATTCGAAAAGAGATGTCTTGTTGTGGCACTTATTAACAAAAAGCCCATTAATATACAAGCTGTATTGAAATCATTCCCGTAAACTATGACCATTGGCGTTTGTTGTAGCGATTTCTAGCAGGCTAGAACTAAAAATCCGTGTGTATAATAAATAATATACATATTTCATTAATGCATTTTGCATTCCACGCAATCAACGAATTAATAATAATCAAAAAATGCTACGTTCTCGAGAGAGCGAGATAGAAAGACAGATGACGTCATCATTTAGTAGGCATGAAAAACGTTACTTTAATAAAAACAACATTTCAGATTTCGTTATTTTTTAGTTAAGTAACGACGTTTTTCAATCGAGCTCCAAGGTAATACAAGCTATCGTTTCGGTTTCGAGAAATATCTCGTTAAATCTTATACAGTAAAATTAAAAAGTCGTGGGTGGCCTAAAGGGTGACACCGCACGGGTAGGTACCAACGCCCTGCGTATTTCTGCCGTGAAGCAGTAATACGTTTCGGTTTGAAGGGTGGGGCAGCCGTTGTAACTATACCTACTGATACCTTAGAACTTATATCTCAAAATGGGTGGCACATTTACGTTGTAGATTTCTATGGGCTCCAGTAACTACTTAACACCAGGTGGTAACTTCTCGGGTTCCTTCAAAAAGTCCACTGAAAAAGTCTCAGTAAATGACCATCATTTTACTGAGATTATATTTCATCCCATATCATCTCATCTCATTTCATTTAATTTCATGCCAATTGATTAAGTTTCCTTCGTTTTTTATTATTCATATACCTACTGTAAATAATTAAAACGGCGAATTATAAAAATCTTATTACTTGACGATGGCTAATGCACAAACCGTGCTGGAGCCAAAAAATTAATAAGAAGACAGTGTTCGAGCAATCTGTTGCCATCTTATGATTAATTTATGGGACACCCTGTATCTGGCTTTGTTCTTCTAAAGCTAATGATATTTTTACTAAACGTTATTTACTCAGCGTGGGTCGCAGTATCAGCTCAACATTTAAAATTTTATCAACGAACAAAAAACTATCTCAAAACAGAGTTACTGTTACCACAAACACCTATCGTGAATCGAGTTTATGCTGTCAAGAAAACTGGACTAATTTGGCTTCCCCGAATCTTTAATTAAAAGCGCTTTTAAGCACATTTACTTAAGAAAAAAGTCTGTTTAATTATACAATAATGTCGAAACATACTTTGAATTGTACCTCTTTTTAAATGTCCCTGTTTCCGTCGACATTTTCTTAAAGTTTTCCTTTTAAAGGGCGCTATTAGCTTTCGTTTCAATTCAAAGTCTGTCTTTTGAATGTATTTTGGGACTGATTTTATTATACGACCAGCGACCCGCCCTCGCTTCGCTTCGGAAAGATTAAAACACACAAGAAAACAAAAAAAAAAAAAAAAAAAAGTAACCTATGTTCATCAGGGACAATGTCGGCTTCTAATGGAAAAAGAATTTTTCAAATCGTTCCAGTAGTTTCGGAGCCTATTCAAAACAAACAAACAAATCTTTCCTCTTTATAATATTAGTATAGATATAGATCATCACTACAATGTAGGTGACGGTTTTTGTCAAGTGCTTGTTCTTTACGAGAAAAAGGTCTTATTCGTCTTAGTTCAAGCTTCCATTCGCCGATATATAACATTTAATTGTTATCGTCCTCGTTAAAATAAATCTTAATTTCCATTTATTGGGTGTGTTGAGATATACCTACGACAAAGCGAAGATCTTCCGCTGAGCGGGTGATATTGCTCAGTAGACCGACGGTCCGAATGTTGTTGTTCGGAACTTGTATATATGCGCTTTATCTTGAAAATGTCGTAAGCGAGATTCAGGCATCTGTTAATTATCTTGCGTTGTATGATGGCTACCCGCCACAGGTGATTTCAACGATTTCGCTTCGCGAGCGAACTCCATATTCGATATTAGATACCATTGTCTCGTAGTCAGTTTTTTTTTGACATTGGCTGAATTATTTATATAGGGTTACCGCCCTATAAGATTTAAAGTAATAAAAGCTTCGTTGTTTTTTTTGTAAGCTTTTTCATTATAATCCGTTTTCCTCATTATTTTGAAACTACACTACAACTTTTGGAGAACAACAACATTGTTTTAGATATTTTAATTATAATTCGTAGCAAAAATTGTTACTTGCGACCCTATTACGTATCGCGAAGAAAATTAATTCTTCTTGCCCTTGAATAGCAAGCACTACAACATAAAAAAAAAACTGAGCTACTATTTTTATATACTGAAAGTATAATACTGAATACAATTAACATAAATCAGATGTGAAGATTTAATTTAGGTAAACTGTACATAGCAAACTACAATGTAAATTCCCCAAAGTGTTCTTAAACTTAATATAATAATAGTGTTATTAATTGATTCAATCATATTTAATTGAATTGAAAAATAATATTTTCCTAATAGACTCTGAATTTCGAATCTAAGCGCCGGAAATGTCTTGTTTTTTTTTTATGTATAACTCATCTATTACTTAGAAACAAAAGATGAGTCAAGCTGGCCCTCGATGAAATATTTGAATTTGACTATATAATTCCTATTGAACTAGGTGTATTTAAAATACTTTTGTTATTGATTTCAACGTCATACGCCTAACGAACTGCCCGCTCTCTCCGTGAATAATACACAATTTAGTTATGTTGCAAAAATTAACAAATAAAAATATTACCCACCAGATATTATAACATTAAGTATCGAGTAAGATTCAAATCTTATATGAACACTGCCAAGCCGCGCTCATAAGAATTACGCCGCACCATGGAAGCAGTATTGAATTTGGCCATCATCCGACCAATGTATCGGTTTGAAATTTAACACTAAACATACCATAACGGGTCAAATGACCCATTTTGAAATTTTGGATTGAAAATGCACGTATGATCTTATTGCTTTTGTACTGACTTCATGACTTTTTCTTACCGATTATCTATCTATCTATCTATCTATCAGCCCATGGACGTCCACTGCTGGACATAGGCCTCCCCCAAGCCTCGCCACAAAGACCGGTCCTGCGCTGCCTGCATCCAGCGGATCCCCGCGAACCTTAATAGGTCGTCGGCCCACCTTGTGGGAGGCCTACCCACGCTACTTACCGATTAATCTACAGTTATTATACAATTTTTTTGTTTTGTTTTGTTTATTTTGAGTAATATTTGTCGTGTAACGTTATCTAACCGCTATGGTACAAAAGGTACCAACCAGTAAGTGTTGGTATGATTAGTGTTAAATTAATAATAATAATAAAGTGTCTACTTATGAACTAGGCTTAATCAGAGTTGTAGTCAGCGTCCTGCATTAAAGGCTGGAGGTCTTCCCGTCTTCTCTCGCCCCGATTCGGTATTCGTGTCACGCCTTCCAGTATACCGATATCCGATAATCTAAATAAAACAAAATATATATTTAATTTTTTTCTTGATTACACTATTGTATAGCTATTTATTTATTATTTAGATTATTGTATGATCAGTTTACATTATCTCAACCATCAGAAGAATACGCAAAATAAGTAATATATTCACTAACAAACTATAATTATTTTTGGCTCATCACATCATTACCATGAAATTTATTGTTAATTATCTCCTTATTTAGTTTACACAGTCGTATACATGAAATAAAATAATAATAAAACGTTCATACATTACTTATAATGTTTTCAGTGACTTAGATATAGTAAGGATTCTAAGATAATGTAAGCCGGTCCCAATGTGAGATTATGTAAACCAAGCTTAAAGAAAATGCGGCACGGTTCTAATTTCGAATTGTTTTGATATTTATGACCTTAACTGGGTATGGGAACTCTATTGGGAATCTACGTACTTACAATCATGGTAAGAATTATTAAGATGACACAATGTTAAAGAGAAAACAATAAAGTCAGACCGCCACCTCTAATTGGTATCTTATAATTTGATTAACTTGTGCTCTCAAATGCAATTTTGATGTCTTGAATGCAGTTAACCCACCTTATAACACGGTATTATAGAACACGTTTCCATTCTAACACGAAAAGAAAAAGTCCCCAAAACCTTCTTTTAACATGGTATTTTTACAACAAGATAGCGAGATTTTTGTTTAAAATTATTTAGAAAATTACATTGTGCACTAAGAACACGCAATTTAAGGGAATAAATGAAATTTTACTGCTTATTATGTATAATTGGTAAAAACATATATCCAATCACAGTTGAGATGTTGCATTCAGAATAAATATTTTCCTTTTTGTACTGGCTTCTAATCTCATATAACACGGTTTCCCACAACACGAGACTTTATAGGAACGCATCTACCGTGTTATGGGAGGGTTACATGTATTTTAATTTGCAAAATGTAAATGCTTTTTTAAACGAGGCATTATCTCAAGACCGTCAGCGCGTCTGTTTGTTTTAAAGCAACATACATATTAATATTATTGAAGTGAAACTTCTAATGCGACTTCCAACAAGGTAGCGTTAAACGTTTAACGCTGCCATATTAGAAAGATACAGAGCGAGAATGAATGCGTGGCACTAGAACGTATGCGCGTAGTATACCTGTTACGGGCCAGCGCGAGCGTTAACGAGTAGCGTCCAATATTTTAATGACGTACTTAAAAAAAAAAAATTTTTTTCTATCTATAATTTAAAAAATATATAATATAAATGATGAAAATGTCGCATCTCTTATACACAGCATTCCCTATTACAAGAGCAATCTGATTTAACGATGAAAAATGAACATCGAAAAAGAAGTTTCACTTCATTCACGTGCACCGTTTTTTATTATTTGACAATTGGAAACGTACACTTCGGGTTTGACGTCATCGAAGTGGGTCGGCGTGAAGTACGGGTTAGCGGCCGCCGGCCTGAACTTGTAGCCTGTCATCAGGAAGAACACGAGTGTGGCCAGCTCGCGGAACATCTCGTCCATCCACGAGTATTGGAACCGCACTGTTTTCTGTTGATAAAAACGTTTGTATTTTACTATGACAGATTTTTGGAACGAAGTTCCTTATGGGACGATGCGGAGGGGTACCCTAACCGGGAAAAAACGTCCGTAACGTAAGATTTTTATTATTTATGTATAGTCTTAGTATGATGGCTATAGAGTGTCTAATGTATAGTCTACGTGATAAGGTTATTATTATTATTCATATAAATAGCTGTTTCTTTGTATATTATAGCCCACTGAGTTTCTCGCCGGATCTTCTCAGTGGGTCGCGTTTCCGATCCGGTGGTAGATTCTGCGAAGCACGGCTCTTGCTAGGGTTCGTGTTAGCAACATCGTCAGGTTTGAGCCCCGTGAGCTCACCTACTAAAGTTAGGGTTACGCTGACATAGCCTCTCAAGGCTATCAGCATAGGTAGGAAAAAAAAAATGTATATTATTATTATTATTATATATTTTTTATAAATCATTGTGAATAAAATAAAGTTGATAACTTTGTAAAGTAGTTTATATTGTATTTTTATCAATAAAAATATAATAATAAAAAATGTATACCCGAATAATTATTTTCTTTATACCTCGAATAGAACTTAAAATTAATATTTTTATAATAAAGAACTTCGTTGCGGTGTCCCACGACACCACACATCTTTTTTTATTATTACTATCACTGTTCTCCTACCGATCGAGATTCGACAATCATTTCGCACCTCCAGACATAAATTTATTTTAACCATACTTTTGCTCTTATGTTTTGACAGTGGTATTTTTTGTGCTTGCACCTTGATTGGTGCTTGAAGATCTTAAAAGCACCGAGAGTGGATCTGGGTGATTCGTAGACATATTCTGGGCGACCGCGGCTTGGCCTTGCCCCGTTCGCTTGGGTCCGATATCACATTTAGTTAGCAAGTACCTTCAATATGAAGACCACAATCCTCGTAAAGTATATGTAACAGGCGACCATCACGTAGAAATGCTGGAATAGTTTCAGTTTGCGAAGATTGATGGCCGCTTTGCCGTCAGTCGTCGATGCGTCTTGTAAATGTCGTATCGACCTAAAACAAAACGTGACGAGTAAATTATAAATGATCATACTACAATCAACAGTATCTGGTTAATCCAAAAATAGCTCCGTGTTCCCGTAGACAAACGGAGCAGAGCCCCTCACGAAAAACAAATCTTAAATAATCCTACTCCTTATAGTATATAGCAGACTTTAAAGGCCAAATATTGTGACAACAAATAATAAAGGGTGCGTGTACTTATGTACGCGCGTAAGAAGTTATACTTTATTTTTATTAAATTTATTTCTTTTTTTTAATATTAAATAATTAATAATAAATATTTAACGTTAATAATTTAATAATATTTAGTATGAACTATATTAAATAATAATTTTGTCATTTATATTACTAAAAAATGAATGCTAATAACACTTTTTTTTACGAGTGTACATGCGCGAAAGTTTACCTGCGGCTATATTTAGACTCGCCAAGTTACGTCGGTCGTATTGTAATGAGCGATTTAGTGGGCAACTTCATTCTGTTAATTTCGTGTCACGGTGCGCACGCATCGTAAAATTTCACTCTCATCAATTTTTCATAACGCGCCTAAAGAAGTATAACGTATCAAATTGTTTTCATTCGTTTGCGTGGCCAACGTCGGCCAAACTTACGGGGAGCAATCCAAACGGACGCAAAATCGGGGGATAAGCTAGTTATTTATTATAATTCTATGTTTTTTTTATTGCCCTTGTAGGCAGACGAGCATACGGCCCACCTGATGGTGAGTGGTTACCGTCGCCCATGGACTTCAGCAATGCCAGGGGCAGAGCTAAGCCGCTGCCTACCGCTAATATTTGAACTAGCGGAACCGACAGACGCTGCACACACAAAATGAATGAAATGAATGAAATGAATACATACACACAAATTCATTCAAGTCGATCCGGTAGTAGCAGTATATATAAATAACCTAGACACTAACTGCAGTGCCATCTGCTGGGCTGATTTGTGAACCTAAGACATCCACGGCGCCAAGCAAACGCATATAAAAAATATAATTCAAATTGGTCCATCTTTTTAGGAGGAGTACAGTGACATACACACGTACAGTAGAATTATATATATATAAAGATGAACTCACCAGACAACAGGGAAAACAATAGCGACGCAACAAACTAGCTCGACAACTATAAAGATATCGCGCCAGGCGTTGTGTTCGACTGCGCCTTCCTCGCTTTCCGCTAATATTATCTCTGCAACATTAGCTAGCACCTGAATCAACAAAATAAATATCATTATTTAGTGCGATATGCAGTAGCAAGATCTTTTCTTTATCAATAGTCAAGTGAATGTTATTGATGGAGAACTTAAAAACCGTCTCTGCATGCCTCCGTTGAAAAATATATCTGTCGAACCTCGTATATAGTATTTCGTCGACATACTTTCTTTGGCTCTTCCTTACATTTGTTTCATTTTCGGCAATTCTATCTATACGTATTTCAGCGCTTTTGGATTTTCATTTTTTTTTCTTGTTAATATACACGGTACGGACTCTCAATCGAAAATAAAATTTATTTCATAACTTAACTAGACAGAAGAGCGCAATAATAACTGTACTCCCATATATTTTACTCACAAAATTGTTCAAAATCGTTGTTTTTAACTATTTACCTCGAAAATATATATGCAATAATTTTAAATAATATAATTAAAATAAGGTTGATACCACATAAAATAGGAAACATCGACAGCTATTTTTTACTAACAGCCGATATATTGGCCAGATTAATTGTTTTAAAATACATCTTGTGTTATAATACTTCTATTATTAGCGTATATGTACGGTACGTGCTCATGGCGCATGCAGTAAACATTACCCTTGAAATATCGAAGTCTCAATTGGATTGGCACTGAACTGCTTTACCGGATTTATAAATATCTAGAATGATGGTAGTATAAGAACATAAGCATCCTATATGGTAGTAGTCGGTGGCGAAATATGTAGGTTCTTGTCTTAAAAATAATAGTTTAAGAAAACTAAAAAAACACGCTTTTATAGAAAATCCAACTAAAAAATAGAAAATAAATCTTAATAAATTTGAATTAAAAATGGTGTAAGAAAAAATGATTTTATTGTAAAAAAGCGTGGGGTGCATTTCAGGATATTATCAAAATAACCCTTCTACTCATACCTGTTCATAAAATATGTATAACTACTAATACCATGCACCCCACGCTTTTTTTTACAATAAATTTTTTTTTCTTAATTTTTTTTCTATTTTTTAGTTGAAATTTCTATAAAAGCGTTTTTCGTTAGTTTTTTTAAACGATTTATTTATTTTTCCTTTTTTAGTTGATTTAAATTTTTTCAATATTTTTTTAAATATTGTATTGTCATCGGTCCTTAATAAGTATACCAAATTTCGAGTTAATCTGACGTTTTGACGGGGGTCAAAATGCATGTTCAAAGATTCCGTTACAAACATACATACGTCTGACTCTAGTAAAAGCGTTTTAAAATACAATCTAGTCAAATTTAATTTTAACCTGCCTGCAATGGTATAACAATCATGAACAGTTTCTTATCGCGATCGGACAGTATATGCTTGATGAAATTCCATCCGGTGCCGACAAGAACTATAGTCACGAACAGAACTGCCCCTTTAAGCCTGCAAGTAAAAAAAAAACTATAATACAAAATGTTGTCTATGAAAATTTGTGTTTTAATTTTTTTATTGTGTAATAATGCAACCTAATCTGTACGAATTCCATTACGCATGTTGTCGACGTAAGGTGATTCAGACATCACATTTTACTGAAACTCACATGAATCAATCAAAAGAACCTTTAATGTTCACGATTGACTTCCACGGTTAAAGAATAGCATCGTGTAATAAAAATGAAACCCGCAAAATTATAATTTGCGTAATTAGTACTAGTACACTTAATTGATTGTAATTATGAAATAAACGTTGCGTTTACTTACAGATGGGTGATATAATACAATATCGCCCAGGCCGTCACGTGCTCGCCCCTTATCTGTATGAAGTGATAGTTTATCCCGTGGAAGGCAAGCGAGGCTGCCTTCAGATACACCAGGATGCACATTATTATGTGTATGCGGAACACGGTCTGTCTGCTCGTCTTCAGAATGTACGTCCACAATATAGCGCAGAACAAGAATATCGATGACGTCACTGCATATAATAGAGGCAGCGGGATCTCACCAGCGGACAGGTAGTTTCCTTCGTTGCTCTCGAAGATTTCAATCTGCAAATTATTTACTTGTTTAGGTGAGTTCTAAGAATCAATCCTCGATAGCACTCTTCGATGCAGTACTAAATTTATTGAACTGTATCATTGCAATAAATGAAATGAATAAATATGAATCTATACTAATAAATTTTAAGAGGAAAGGTTTGTTTGTTTTGTATTGAATAGGCTCCGAAACTACTGAACCGATTTGAAAAATTCTTTCACTGTTTGGAAGCTACACTATTCCCGAGTGACATAGGCTATAATCGTTTTTTTTTAAATTAGGTATTTTACTAAAACTCCAATAATGTAACTCAAGGTGTAAAAAAGTTAGGTACCTAAAATATTATTTACATCACGTGCTCTGCGAAAACTATTGATGATAGAATAAAATAATGTACTACGATTTTGTAGAACACATAATTATTTACAAAAAGTGTCACGACAGCATATTTCCAACTATTATATTTATGCCGCAATAGGTGGTCTTTTATTTAAAAAAATAAAACAACGTCGTTGAAATTTTTGTTAAAGACCCGAGCGGAGCCGGAGCGGGCCGCTATATAATATAAAATGAGTATATTATATAACTTTAAAATGTACTTTGTTATTTGTATTTTTATTATGTTCCTATACATACAAACTACATTTAGTCCTCATTTTTAGAAAATTTCCTTGAGAAAAATTTTAGATCATTACTCACTATTGCATTAACAGGTGTCGGGTTCCCTTCGCCTTTATAGGGACAGTTATTGAAGTACAAGTTGTACAGACCTTCTTCCTTCTTAGAGGTTATGTACAGAGCAAACTGTAACAAAAAAATGTAACGGATTAACAATTTACATACCTACATACTTTAAATAAAAATTTGTTCTTGATTAGGCAGCCCGATTCTGTCTATTGAAAACGTATTTTTGTGCATGTCTTAAAGTTTGGGCAGTTACGTTAGTTGAAGCCTGTGAACTCCAGTAACCAATTAACACCAAGCGGGCTAGAAAATCATCTACCCATCTAAGCAATAAAAAAAAAATTAATGAGTGTTTTGTAACTTACGCCAATAATTGAATTAAATATATTTTAAAGGTGAATTCAGACAGAGCACTAGTTGCATGTAAGGCAAAAGAAGTACCAAACTGACAGTGGATTTAGATTGATAATATAATACTGTTACATGCTCACACTTGTATTATAGTAGTCTATTTGATTTCTGGTTTCCCTTTGAATAGGTAGCAAATCATATGAACATTTTTCTTCTGCATCATTAGGGAAAACTGAAAAAAAAAATAAGGCAACACTGTATGTAATTGTTCAAACAATCATGTATCTATTCATAGAACTCTGAGAAGTGTCTCAGGACATATTTTAACAGTTTTGTCTGTTTGTTCATTAATTCGATTAGAAACTCGGGTCCGAGCTACTGTCGCGTCTACGGTGACAGAACCAAGCCTATCGATTGTTTTTTTTTATGTAACTAATGAAAGGTGTCTAGTACAATAAGTTATGTATATTTATTTTTATTAAATTTCGACGAAGAACTTGGCAAGCTTAATTATTAAAATTGCTATATCATATCTGGTAATATTTACTTATTAATATTATGTTAAAGTAACATATCATTTAAAACTGGGGCACCTTTGAAACAATATAAAGCTTAATTGAAGTGAAACTTCTTTATCGGCGTTGGAAAAAAATTTACCGTCACATTTTTCGGTTACGCGTCACATTTTTCCGTTACGCGCCATCTGTTTTGTATTCATGTCTATGATAATAAAATCCTTTTGTTTAAACTTTATCTAATTTAACTTTTTTGTATTCATGTCTATGATAATAAAATCCTTTTGTTTAAACTTTATCTAATTTAACTTTTTTGTATTCATGTCTATGATAATAAAATCCTTTTGTTTAAACTTTATCTAATTTAACTTTATTTAACCAATTTCTAGAAAGTTGCATGTAGATCATTTTTCGAAAAATAAGGCCATAAAGAAGTTTCACTTCTTACGTGTGTACACTAGTACACGCACACATTTTTTTTAAATCATTTACTTGTCATTACTCTAAAGATATTTATTTGAAAAAATAGTTTTTTTTATAACACATATGATCGGGCGCAGGTATTTTCTATTACACTGTGCACCATAATAATATAAGATTCAGCATTAGGCAGTCAAACATTATTACACAATTCCGTGCTTTTTTTTTGGCATATTATTTATTCATACCAAGAAAGATTAAAACACAAATAAATAAGTAATCCTTAGTACGTGGCCCAAGACCCTATCCTTTAAGCCATCCGTTCCGTCGTTAATTTTAAATATTCTAATCAGGATAATTGGACAATTTCAATAAATTATTATATTGTTATTAGTCCTTAATAAAATTGAAACTTCTTCAATTCAATTCGACGCTTAAAGTAAGTGAAAATCACGTTAAAATATACTGTTACATACCTAACTAATGTATTAAAAAGTTCAGAGCTACAGACTGTGAACACGCCTGAGTATTCACTCTATTAAAATATGATTGATATTAGCATTGAATTTGTGATTGGATTTATCGAAGGCATACCTCTTGGAATGACGCTTTTGTTTCTATATATATGCTGGCTTGCCGCTCGGCATGTAACGTTTAACCTTAAAAACAAAATAAATATTATTATTTGAATTACCTTATAAATGTATGATATTATTATAATATCTTTATCACGAAAATGAATATATGTTAAAAAGTGTCCGTACTTAACACAAACAAAATCTACAAGTATTATTTTACTTGGATACCTACCTTAGAAAGACAATTGACAAAATGTGAAAAAAGACTGTCTTTATATATAATACATAATACTATAATTCAAATGTGTAATATTATGTTTAGATAACGACTAGAGATGCGGATGTCGATGAGAAACAGTAACCACTTATCGTCCATGAAGTTGTTTGTCTTTGAAGGATCGTTAAATACATTTTTTTGCGTCCATTTTATTGAAGTGAAACTTCCTTATCGGCGTTGGAAAAAAATTTACCGTCACGTTTTTCGGTTACGCGTCACATTTTTCCGTTACGCGCCATCTTTTTCTTGCCCCTACCACGGTTGGTTCAGACGAAGAGTACTTTCACTTTCTCCAACGGAGTAGGGATAGCATTAATGTTTCACTTCTTACGTGTGTACACTAGTACNGTGAAACTTCCTTATCGGCGTTGGAAAAAAATTTACCGTCACGTTTTTCGGTTACGCGTCACATTTTTCCGTTACGCGCCATCTTTTTCTTGCCCCTACCACGGTTGGTTCAGACGAAGAGTACTTTCACTTTCTCCAACGGAGTAGGGATAGCATTAATGTTTCACTTCTTACGTGTGTACACTAGTACACGCACACATTTTTTTACATTGAAGTTTACCTTAAGTTTTCGAAATCCATTTTAAGGAAAACTATGGCTGGGTGTTGTGGAGTAATTACATTTTCTTTCAGAAAACATGAATTGGAATTTCCTTGAGCTAAATACGGACTAATCGCGTCATTTATTGTTCGGTCCAATGTGAAGCCGTACTGTAAGAAAATTTTGTATTTACATTAAATTATATACTTGAATACTTTAATTTAAAAGTTTATTGAAAAAACACTTGTTAAATACGTTGTAACCATTTACGTAAATTAATTGTATTAATTTAACCTAATTTATTAATTTATAAGCTATGTTTATATAAAGCCTGCAGTGAAACTGCATAAGTAGTTTTGCTGGGCTTGGTTTAAATGAAAGTGTAACTTTTTACGAATAAATATATTGCATACATACATACATACATACATACATACATACACGAAAACATTTTCCTATCATCCCACTCAAGATGGGATCCATATATCAGTATTCATTGTAAAATAGAGGAAACAGTAATTGTACTGGTAACGAAACCCTCAATAGATTTCAGCACTAAGAAAGTACTGGAGCTTTTGTTCCAGCGGCATAAGATAAAATAAGCTTGAGAGAACTGTTCCCTTAGAAGTATGGAAAGTCAAAACTGACAGCCAAAAGTTTATAATATACACTGACTTCCACATTAACTATTAGTCTGACTTCATGTATATACAGTTATCCATTTTTATTACACAAAATAGAAGAAATATGAACTCTCTAAACATACTATTTTCATTTTAGTACTTAATATACTTTAAATGGCAATATATAGTTAATTTTATCATCTCAATAGATAAATTAAAACTAATCTATGGAAGTATATTCTATGGAACTTATTTTGAAACTTAATTTACACTCTAAACAATTGAAACTGTTCTTTACCTCCCCGAAAGGTCCTGAAGGCATCATAAAGTTAACTAAATTGACTTCTAGGATACCACGCTCAAGGAATCCGAAAGTCGTGATGTCCACATACTTCCGTTGATCATCCTGAGAACAAAAAAAATATTTTTAAGGAAGATCATTTGTAAGGTGATATTATTTCTTGACGGAAATGATTACATTTAATGCTGTCTTTTAAGTCTTTGACTTGCACAATTTTTTTTTTATTGCTTAGATGCGTGGACGAGCTCACAGCTCACAGCCCACCTGATATTAAGTGGTTACTGGAGCCCATAGACATCTACAACGTAAATGCGCCACCCACCTTGAGATATAAGTTCTAAGATCTTAGTATAGTTACAACGGCTGCCCCACCCATCAAACTGAAACGCATTACTGCTTCACGGCAGAAATAGGCGGGGCGGTGGTACCTACCCGTGCGGAGGTATTCACAAGAGGTCCTACCACCAGTAAAAGTTTAATGCATTAACAATTTGTAAAGCAACCTATTTAAATGAAGTTGATATGAAATGAAATTGTACTTAAATAAATGGTTAAAAATACATTTTATCAAAAGACTCAAGCGCTAAGGTTCCGCTTCAGTCCACATTAATAGTACTGTGGCCAGAACCTTTGACCAACAAAAACTGTAGCAGTTGTGAAAGCCCTCAATATATAGAAAGTCACAGTGGAATGTATAAATGTAGCAGGATAGTAATCCCATCCTGTGCATACTTAACTTGGCCTATCAGTGCTATTATATTATAATATTGTATAATTACAATTTGGCAAGTAAAATGGGTAAAAACACTGTGGATACAGAAATTTTATGGGTTGCAATACTTTGAGGGAGTCAGTATCATATATCCATATCTTACAGTTCATTTAATATAAAAGTGAGGAATTTTGGCTTCCATTGTATTTAATCCAATCCAATCCTAAATCTAATATATAAAATTCTCGTGTCACAATGTTCGTTCCCATACTCCTCCGAAACCGCTTGACCGATTCTCATGAATTTTTTTATGCATATTCAGTAAGCCTGAGAATCGGCTACTATCTATTTTTCATACCCCTAAGTGATTAGGGTTGTCCAGCCCTAACTTTTTTTTTTTATTTGGACATTTTTTTTGTTATATTGAGGTATTATGTGGTTGAATGAGGTTTTGTTATTTTTATTATATATTCCCTCATCGTTCACAGAACTACATACCTCTTTCACTCATTTACCACATCCTTACACACTTACAATAAATTAGTTTTAATTTCTACACTAGAAATTCCCTAGAAATCTTATATACGGCAAAACAATGTTTGCCGGGTCAGCTAGTAATTTATATGATTGACTTAAAATTTGCAGTAGTTGGTACATCATATAGTAACTTCAACATTAAATATAACACACGGTATTTTACAAAATGGTGTTTCACTTATACTTCGCAAGTCACAGCAATAGCATGGCTGTTTCATATTGATGATCTATTTTACGAGAACTGTAAAATACATTTGAAGTTCGCTTGAGCATTTTTAGCAAAAATACAGCATGCACATACAAATTTTAAGATATGGAAGTTCTGGGTGGAAATGATTATATATATTAGAAAAGTAAAAATTATTTTTAGATTTATTATTTAAGTTGTATAAACTTAAATAAATTAAAAGAGCTGGACTGATTTGAATGACATTTCCCATTATGAGATAATATATCATGCTTAACACGTTGACTGCCATGGTTAAGTGCCCTACTTGGCACACTGGAATAATCATATCAATTTCTGTGTTCAATCTTCTTACTAAGGCACTGGAATATATAGTAGACTTATGAAAGACGAATCCGAAGATACTGAGAATGAAACTATTTCTAAGAGACCAAAAAGTTTAAAACATCAATTAAAAACAAAAGTATCCAAAATTAGGCAATCCAGGCACTCAGTAAGAGAAATCAACATAATTACTTCAATTTGCCACATATGGCACCCCAATGACCTACATGGCAGTCAACGTGTTAATGATACTGTGGTGGGTAGCCATCACACAACACAAGGCATTTGACAGTTGCCTGAATCGCACGATGTTTTAGACGAGATAAGCTTGCATATATACAAGTTCTGAACAACAACATTCAGAGTGCCAGTCTACCAAACAATATCACCCGCCCAGTGGAAGATCTTTCCTTTCTCCTAACAAACTGATGACCCCGATGTGATTTGAACAGGCAACCTTCTGAAATGCTGAATATCTTGTCTTGTATGTTGGGTACCCACCACAATGCAAACTGATGAAAGTGTATCTTGATTATATGTACCAATGAATGGAGCAATGTAATGTAACACAGAAGTTCAAGTGAAAGCAAGCAAATAAAAGTTCGAAAAGTTTACTGTGAAAGTGATTCTATATATTAGTACTGATAAGTTTTCAATTTTATAGCTTGTTAGTGTATTTATGTGTAGTTTGTGTCAAAAACCATTAACTAAAAATGAAACGAAGATCAAAGTTATGTTTGGAAACAAAAATGGAAATATTTAGGTCATTAAGAGATGTCACTTTTTCCCATTAATAAAACCACAATATTAAGAATATATATATATGTTTAACAGACAGGTTTTATAAGATGCTTTACTTAAATAAATAACCGTAAATAGCCTGTATTAGAAATTTATTTTGTTTTACAAGGTTTTTCATAAAAATATCAGATTTTATTTTACAAGGTTTGGATGGGTACTTATTATCAGTGTAAAGAGGGGATAGGTGCAAAGAAACATATCACAATGAAACTGTCACAATTGGATAGCTTGTCATTGTCCTACAATATGGTAGGTTGGTTGGTTGATTGGTTGGTTGTTTGTTTATAAGGAAAATGATTTACTGAAATATTGTTGTAAAATTTCCCAAAAAAGAAACTGCTGATCAAATCACAAGAAAACCTACAGAGTACAGCCTCAGTCATTTCAGGACATTAAAATATAAGAGAAGATAAATAAAAATATAACATTCTATTTAGGTTGTTTTTAGACATTTATACTTTAAAAAAATGTTTTTCAAGTTAATCAAAACATTTTTAACATTTAGATATCACCAAGATGTATTTTGTACTAAGTTTTAGCAACGCACACAACCTGACGTCCTTTTTAGCTAAAGATTAGAAAAAAGGTGGGAAAACTCCATATGGTTCTTTTAAAAAGTAAAAGCAATTAAGTTACACATTTTTGTGTGATTTGTCAAAAATATTAAAACTGTAAGCATTTCAGTAATATCCTTACCGTAAGAAGCAGTTTGTGTATTCTGCATGAAACTGAAGCCACAACCATCAGGATGTACAGGAAAGTTGTTTTCATTACGCGAAACATGTTTCATTTCTAAAATATAAATAGCGCACAACGAAATTATTTACGCAAATTTGATAAAAAATAAGAAAATCTTAATTTTGACTTCTGGTATTATGTATTTTAACTACAGATTACAGACCATTCAGTGCAATAGGCATACACATAGATTAGGTACAGGAAAATGGGGTGATTAGGGACAAATTCCAACTTGATGGACAATTTTAAGGTACTTGTTGATGTTTAAAATGGCATATCATGATCAAAATGATTGAGTCTTGGGGGTATCTTTGTTATCCAATTTAAAGCTATGCAATTACCATTCTAGTTTAAGCAAAAAAAAAAACAAAAATAGGTGCTATCCCTATTTACCCAAAAATTGTGGTTATTGGGGACAAAATTAGTGTTAATCGAGAAATTTGCTAGGGCTGCCACACCTTGGTTTTAATTAATTAATTAATTTAGTTGCACTAACAAAGTGATCATCAATAAAAATATTGAAAAACTGACAAAAGTAGATGGCAGATGTCACCTCAATTATAGGAAACTTGAGTACATTTAATTAATTATGATTAATTTATATTTACTTGGGAAATTATCCGCAACAGATTTTTCCTGTAAGCTGTGAGACAATTAGAAAAAACACCTATTTCATCACTTAAAATTAGTTCAGCGCAATCGGACAACTCCGAATGAACGTTGACGGAGACCACACTCCCGTGCACATTAATGTAGTCCCAAAGGATTCTGCTTAAGAGAGAGTAAGCACCTAAATTCGAACGAGTGAGCTTTCTTATAAGCGGTTTATATTTCTTCGTTCTTAGTAAGTACTTAGGGGCTGATATTTTTAACTGGGTTAAGAGATTAGGTGTGGCGTTTATTCCTTGGATTAATTAGGTGGATATCCCAATCAATACATTGTTATGTGTTTAGACTTCATCTTAAAACTTGACTTACCAACTCATCTAAATCATGAAAAATCGTAAATAACCTTTTGTAAAAATGAGTTTTATCATCTTTTTATTATTATTAAAATGTGTAATCTTAACCGTAGGTTTCTTATAGGGCATCCCGCGGAGCGCTGACCTCAGCGTCCCAGCTAGTTTTTGAATTAAATTGCTTACAGTGCAAATTACATTAGAAAATTACCAGGAATTACCACGACTAACATTTGATATACATCTACAACAATAACTAATAGATACTAATTTATCAGACTACTACTAGATAATAACATTTTCTTATTAAGCGCAAGTTCCGAACAACAGCATTCAGACTGTTGATCTACCGAGAAATATTACCAGCTTGATGGAAGATCTGAATGATGTAAGTACATCACCAAATATAGTTGAAATAATTAATTTACTCATATTATCAAAATATTGTTTTGAAATGTTATGTAAAAGGATACCTAATCTCAAATAACTGTATGTGGAGAGTGAACTTAAACAAAATACATTTAAATAAAAAAGTACAAGACAGTGGTATTCAAAATTAAATAATGGAAGTTAATTGAAGAATTAATTTATAGACTTTTTTCATTCTTTAGGTGTTTTTCATTCCTTTAAATACTTATTATGGTGATTCACATTTTTGCCTGATTTCTTCTATTCTAATGTAATCTATCTGTATGTATGTTATTTAAATATAATGTATTATCTAAACTCCAATTTATACTCGATTTCTGGTATATTTTCAAGCCACTATCCAAGTCTACGGCTGCTTGTACAAGTTCAGTATACGACAAGAGTGCTTGATCGCACATACAATTGCTCTTATCGCTCATATTTGTAGGATCTAAGTCCAAAGTATTCGGAGCAACTCCATGTTCAGAGGAGAATAAATTCGCGCTGGATGCACTAACCTTCCAGTTTCATGTTAATCAGATGTTAAAAGGACTTACGCCATCGTAACATTAATAGGCACTTAGTCGGACCTGTATTCAATAAACTACAAAGCTAGCAACCTTTAGTGTGTGTGTGTGTGTGTGTATTTAGTGCATGGTTCATTTCATTTCATTTCATTTCACTCCATATTATAATTTTTCATAATACTATGAATATTAATTAAAATAATACCTTACTTAAAGTACCTTAGTTACCGGGTCATAAAATCCCTTTAAAAAAATAAAAGAAAATATCTCTTACTAGTCTGTGGCATTGTGTTTGCGACGGTCGATATGAGGGGTTTATGGAGGGGCAAGATACCTACGGGGTAGGACGGCTGCACCTCGAATTTTCTTGTTTCAATTAAGCAGAGTTAAAAGGAAAATTCAATATTACTCTGCTTATAACGGTATATAGTGACTTCTTAATTATTTAACGTGACACGAAGTTATTATAAACGGTATTATAACAATAAATTACTGTTAAACGTTAAGAAAACTAAAAATTTTTATCAATCGATATTTCTAAATTTTACATTCACTTCTACATATAGCATCATCATGGGGTCTACTGTGGCTAGAATGAGGCGTATGTGGCGATGCATGTTTTCTCCTCGACTCTACAAGATTTACTTCGATGGACGACAAGAGGTAAGTGTACCAAAGAAGATAAACATTTACATTCAATCTTTCATATTCAAGTACTTACTCAAGTATTTGCTGGAGAACTGCTATTCATTGTTAAGGGCCTTGCCCGGGTGCAATATCCTTGACAAATCCCTTTCCTCATACTAAGTCTGAATGCACCAGTAGGTGAAAATATTACCAATCAATATCCACACATTTTATGAAAATTGTAGAAAAATAGACCATGTGTCTTTTAAAAACAAAATGAGAATTGAAATAGCTACTGAAGAAGACATACTACAGATTTTCTTAATTGAACTATTAAGCAACAAATTATTAATCAAAAAATTTTTTGGCAACTATGTAATGGTGGATGATTTTACTATTATATAGTAAACAATTTCTAAGTTAGATGAACTTAATGATTTTAGTTAGAGAAAACAGTTTTTATATAAAGTAAGTTTTTTCTCATAAATAAATAACTGGGAACAAATCACATACTGTCATCTGGCCCCAAATTAGGATTCTCTATATTATGGGTACCAAAGACTGTCATTCGTACTACATTTAAACATATACATATATAGATAATAAATACATAGACAAAGAGCAAACAAACCTGTTCATCACACTAATGTTTGCCTTATGTTGGCACTGAACCTACAACCCTCTGCGCAACAGTCAGGGGTACTAACTACTGCACCACTGAGTCAGTCAAGTCTTATGTGAATATAAAATCTTGATTAAAATGTAATCACAATATTTAAATATTTTATTATAATTACTATTTTATATCCATGCTAGCTTCTTATTTTTCTCCACCTTATTCCACTAGCTGGGGTCAGCACAGCTGATTTTTCTTTTCCATTCTCTTCTATCGGCTGTCATCTCAACACACTCCTTTCTTTCTCTCTCTCTCTCTCTCTCTCTCTCTCTCTCTTTCATATCATCATTCACACACTCCATCCATGCTAGCATTAATAGGAAACTGAAAAAAGCCAATATTTTTTGTCAAAAAAACGCTGAACAGATTTAGGTGCAGTAGTACAGGTTCATTATCAGAATACTAAGCAATAAATAAACGATTTGAGGAAGTCGAGAATCTTTTATTTGGAAAATGATTGATACTTCAAAAGAAGTCTATGTATTTATCAGAGTTGTTTTTGAATCTACCTTGAGTCTTACACAAAAGAATAATCAACTTTAGAATTGAGAAGAATCAATTTAAGAAAAAATGAATTAAAATAAACAATGTTTCAAAATTGTAATGCAGATTTCAGGGACAATTGGTGATGTACAGATCTTTTAGGTCAAAAGGTGTCAAAAATGCAACAGAAAATACACATATGCCAGCCACCTTTATGGTATTTATGTTGTGTCTATAATCCCCAGTTAAACTAAGTTTTTATAATAAAAAAAAAGTTTGGTGAGTTGGAAGCTTTTCTACTCCCAATAAGATAAATAGATAGGTGCATTTTTTTATTACACTAAACAGATGCAGCTTTCTGTGAAAACACTGGTGCATTTTTTTATTGAATAGAAAAGCTAACTTTGTAACGAGAAGAGTAGAGTTAAGGAAGGATATTTCAAAATGATATCTAGAAGTAATAGTTCTTATTTGACATATGTAAATGCATAAGTATAATAAAAGAAAAAAATCCGATTCAATAGTGTTAAATACATTCATTAAATGTAACAATGGTACCACCTCGATGATAACCATGGTAAAAAAAAATTAAAAAAAAAACATGAAACGTTGACATGTATGTATAAGATTGAAAGAAATACATACATAGAATTAAATAAAAGAATCCGTGTATCATTTCGGAATAACAAATTTTATACAACGGCGATGTCATTTTAGTTTCGAAAAAAGTTGTATTTCATAAAATTTATCTAGGTAGGGGTAGGTTTAATTTCGCTCTACAGAAACAGCTACTATGTAAACTGCTAAAGGTATATAATTGAATGATCGATTGACCTGGACGGTCGCGTCGGCGCACTGCAGCCATCGATTTTTCAACTCTCTGAATGCAGCCGTATTTCAGGAGTATGCGTTGCAAGCATCCTGCAGTTCATATTGATCGATACTTGCATTGTGAATATTATTTAATTTTGTTTTTCAACAACTTTTTTTATATTTATAGAAACTTGTAAAATTAATTTAAATCTATTCACTTAAATAACGACCGATTTTTTAACTTCATAATTACTGATCGAAAAATGATGCGCTGCTGAATAATAAAAATGTATTTGCTTTTTACGAAAACAATAATCACATTTTGCTCACTCAGAAGTTGTAACTAAGCAAAAAAGAAGGAGCCTAAATGACAAAACATTTTGAAACATTATTATTCAGGAACGTAAACGAATGTTCCTTCTACTTTATACTCAAAGTACTCAAACTACTTTGAGGCTTAATATGGAATTTTGTTTATTTTAATTACGTCTAAGATTGGCGAAAACCGAAAAAAAACACTATAAATTTATTTATAGCTTTAACGCACGTAATAAAAGATAAAACTATTAAACGTTTTACATGTCATGAACTAGATTGGAGTTAAATTTTCTTTCTAAGAGCAATTAATCATGATGTTTTGATTTTATCATAGCAATAAAAATAATAGAAGCACAAGACTTAAAGTACAACTCCTATACTGCTGCTATTGGGCTTAGGTTTTTTTTTATTATATCACAATTGCATTCAAACCTGATTGGACAGTATCAAGTTCAAAATGTTTTTGATGAGTGAAATCATAACGTTATGTCTGGTACTATGTACTATGACTAGTAGCATGAACCTTTTTTAACATTTTTTAAATAAACGTACACGCTGCGCCGTACGTACCAGTCATCATCATCATCATCAACAGCCCACAGTCGTCCACTGCTGGACATAGGCCTCTCCCAATCCACACCACTGAGCCCGGTCTGCGGCTCTCCAGTATTGCGTTAATATTAAATTTTTTTTTAGGATCCGTATCGCCCGGTCGGAGTTGAAAAGATTGGTGAAAGGACCCTTGCAACGGTATCTATCATCTCGAAATATCTTTTTAATAAATTTAAAGAGACATTACGGAAAGGTTTTTTTTTATTCATTGGTTTATTATAATATTTACAGGCCTATACCGCTATCAGAATCGGTTATTATGCAACTCCATTGATCTGCCTATACATAATCCAACGTGGCTTTCTTTCAATGGAAGAAGTAAAAACTTTAATGCGCTTCTTCGGAGGCATCGGCTGTATAGCTACTGTTTTCTTCGTAATGCGAGCATATGGAAGATCTTACAGTCCGAAATATTTGAAATTCATTGACACTTTGGACTCTCCCATGGACGACAAGAATGCGTATCTGAAGGCGATCAGGAAATACGATTTCGACTTCTCCGCTTGGCCTGTAACCTTTACCGCTGATCCCGAAGAAAGGTTAGTGTTCTAAGTATAGAAGGAGTGTTCTAAATATCTAGGAGTGTTGTATAGTTGTATTTGGCCTCGTATTCGCTATCTGATTACAATAATATCAGTATTTAATTTTTGATGGCCGTACATACGATCTAGCGGACATATCCTGAATGTCCTCTACTTTGAACCATGGAATCTGACTCAGTGGTTGAATGGCCATCCCACACTTCAAACCGGATCGCGTGCTATCTTCGCGGTGTAAATGAATAGGGCTGTGGTACTTAACTGTCTCGGTTCATACCACGACCTAATTCCAGTAAATATGAATTCTTGATGGTAATAATATAGGCTGATTGAATACCAGATTAATTCGTAGGAACTTGTTAATTTCTTTTTTTACGAAACTTACGCACTGCCTGCTGAAATGTTGTGACGTCTGCAAAGTATAATGTTCAAGAACATCTCTGTTGCAGCTTACAATAGAAAATATAGATTTAAATAAAACGTGTATGGACTATATAGTATCATTAACTACTAACATTTTATTCTGACAGGCAAGAAAGCTGGCTGCAGAACCACCCTTTTGCGAAATGCGCGAACATGGACTTACCTGTTTATCAGAGGGTTATAATCCAAATTTTGGCTTTTATTGCGGCCCATACCTTCGGTATTCGTCTCATCTACCCAGGATCATTGTTCTTGATACATAATCTGTTATGTAAGTGTGGAATGATTGAGTAACTATTTAATTATAATTCAATTATTATGTTTATATATTCGATCTCCGGTAGTGGGTCTGTATACGATGCGGCCATTGTGTTCTTTTATATAACGTACGTAATTTATTAGAGATGAAACGGATATCCGGTAACTATCCGGTATACGGCCATGTTTTCACTATCCGATCTCGATCCGATTTTGTATAGTACCACAATAGGCTATGGATAACTTTTATTTTTATAATCGTACGTCAAAAGTGATTGTTTTATCAATTAGTTTGTTTAATACTCAAAATTAACAAGTGGCAAATTGTAGTGAATGAATACCAAATCGTCGTACCGAGTCGTCGCGATCTCTGCGTACGTGCGATAACACCCGAACGCGCACGAATATTTCCGAAAGGGCCGAATATCCGGCTCTCCGGTCTCGCAGTTTGCCGAATATTCGGTATCCGGTATCCGGCCAAACCACTATCCGTTTCATCTCTACAATTTATTATTAATCAATTGGTGCGTGTCAAGGGAGCGGTCTGCTCAGTGGACGCACTCAACTCGTCGAGTACTACAACGGGGAGCGCGCCAAGATCTGCACTTCCGACGGAAACCATATCGAGACAATGTTCGTTGAAAGCCGACACAAGTCATTCAAAGGTAGGACCCTGATCATCTGCTGCGAGGGAAACTCTGGTTACTATGAGATTGGCGTTATGACGACACCGGTCAAAGGTGGATTTTCCGTTCTCGGCTGGAACCACCCTGGCTTCGGCGGAAGCACTGTGAGTAAAAAAACGTCAGATTCGCTAAGAAAATAGCATTTATTGTACTCATGATTATGTTGTTTTTAGGGAACACCATTCCCGGATCAGGAAAAGCGTGCCATGGACGCTGTAATCCAGTATGCCATTTACGAGCTTTTCTTTGCCCCCGAAGACATAGTGATTTACGGATGGAGCATCGGTGGCTTCACAGCCGCATATGGTGCCGCTAACTATCCGATTAAAGCATTGGTAAGATACACACTATTATTAATTCCCAATTTCAATTTGAGTCATAAATATACCTATTATTCACAAAAGGGGTACGTACAATCTTAAGTAATTTTAAACTAATTCAATGTTATACATATTATGAACATGTATGCTTCTACTTTAAAGGATGATATAATATTTATTTCGTTCCACCGTACAGAAAAATACGGTAATAAGCCATTCATAAAAATTGTAAACTTCGAATAGATTCTGGACGCGACCTTCGATGACCTTTTGCCGCTGGCCAAGAATCAGATGCCTTCCTCGTGGTCTCGTCTGGTGAAGGAAGTAATTCGCTCTTATGTGGACCTGAACATTGGCGAACTAGTCAACCAGTACGAAGGACCTCTTCAATTGATCAGGAGGGGTGACGATGAGATTATTTGCTTGAGGTACTTATTAGTTACAAGATAGTCTGATTCTTGGAACATCAATTATTATTTATTAAACTGAAAGACAAGGTCAACTCGATGATAGCCATGATGATGATGATGATGAAATTAAAGAAAAGTTGACTGTCTTCGTTTATTTATTTATTTATTACACTTCATGTAAAATTTACATTAGTGGACTTAATGCCTAAGGCATTCTCTACCAGTCAACCAAAGGTAGTGCAGAGTAAATAGTGGTAGGTGCAATGAAATTTATATTAAGTTACGAATACATACACAAAAAAAGTATATATATATATACATATATCCACAATCACATATACACACACATACATACATATAATAGTATATACAGTATTAAAGGAATATATTAATAAATTTCCTTAACAAATAAATTTATCTTAATAAGTTCATGAGATTCTGCTAACTTTTCCAACAGCATTCGCCGAACCAGGTTACTAGGTACTAGGTACCTAAGGTTTTAAAAACGCTGAATGGTCTTCTGAACTCTGTTCGTTTCTACTAATCGTTTGAAACTAGGTTTACGTGTGTCTAGTGCGGATTAGACATCTTCTAATTCAACGGTCGACAATCCTCATAGTTGTATATATATACATACTTACATATTTCATCATTATTAAAAGGGGACACTTCTCATCTTTGCATTGGTGGCCCTTAACCCCCCTACCTTACCGCGTATTATATAAATGCTTTTACCCGTTTGTTAGTTCGTTAAACAATTCAGTTGAATAAACTGTTATATTAAATTGGGTACTGATATCTTAAAATTTAATGACTTATGTGTTTTTTAGGTCTGGCGACATCACCACTAATCGTTGCAACAACCTAGCGTTGAAAGTAATAAGCCATCGCCATCCGAAACTGGCCAAAGATGAGGACTATATGAGGCTTTTCGTGAACTGCGTTGCCATGACCGAGAACGAGCGCGTGGAGGCCTATGAAACTGATATCACTTCCAACGAACGTACTGTGCTGGATGTGGTAAGTTATGTACGCTGAAGTATTAAATTTTAACTAATAATCTATTCTCAGACTTTCAACAATAACAAAAGTTTGACAATAAACACAGATTATACGTATATATGTTGTGTCAAATACATGGTATTGTGTTTAATGATTTCTTTACTGATTGCTTCTCTATACTGTCTATAAGTGTGAGAAATTTCATACTCTTTTGTCCGTGCAATTTTCGTAAAAAGGGGTCCAAAGTTTCTGCTTCACGTATTAAATGTACTCTCAATAATGTTTTGATCAATCTGTTTAGTATGTCATGTCTCATTACTCTTTAATATTTAGGTGTCGCTGTACATGCGTGACTTCGCTTCGAACCACTGCACCGCCCTGCCGGAGACCCACTTTGACATGATCATGGAGTTGCTCGAGGTAGCCCCAGGTGTGCAGCGAGAACTTAATTCTTAAGCTTATTACAATATCTCTTTTGCATTAATTGTTTAATGACTATTCTTGGAACTTTTACTAGGAATGGTAATTTTGAAATTGGGTATTTATGGTGCGTAGTCTGCTAACGCAGCAAGGATCGGTATAAAGTTTCAGGTCTTAAATTAAATTTAAAATGTTTCCCGTATATTTTATCACATTGAATCATAATCATGTTACACCCTTAGGGTGATTAATGTCTAACTTAATTTATTCATACTGCTTGTGACACAGGCTCACAAGTTCCGTTGATGTGGTAGTTTTAATGTGTTTTTGAAAGTATTACTCCAACTTTGTCAATCTTAATTGATATTCGTAATCTGGTAGAGGGTTCGAGGTGTTTAATAAATAATAGGTGTCTATTTAATATACACGACTTCGTGTATACGGCCGAAATATGGTGTATTATGTGCAATATATTTCGTTTTATTTAATCACCAGTATAATGGATATTTCTAATATTTTTAACATTTCTGATTTTAAATTCAAGCTCAAAATGGAGTGACAGTTAAGACTATCTGATACATATACACGTTATATACGAAGTAAACGTAACTAGATAATTTAGAACTTTCCTCAAATTAAATAAGTTTGTATTTATTAATTTTTAAGTAACTATTTATTTTAGAAGGATCCAATTATCCAATTGTTCTCGCTCATTTGTTTTAATATTTTAAAATATCACATATTTAAGACTATTGAATTTACTGTATTTTAATATTCGTCAATGAAATTGGTGTTGTAGTTAGTTTTAGATAATAAGTGTGTTGCATGATATTATGCTATTTTAATCCAATGACTGGACGTCTAATATTTATTAGAAGAATTAAAGTTCAAATAGAACAAATTAGTCTTTTATTCAAGCCATTACCTTAAATTAATGAATTAATATCAGTTAAATTATTTTAGTAACGTAGTATTTTTCTGTCAACTCTTATCCGTTTCAATAACTTAGGTATATCGCAGATGTCTTTACAAAAAAATTTAATTCCATTAAGCGATATTGCGCAAAACTCTTTAAAATAATGATTTCGAGTGAGTTAAATTTTTGGCCGCCGCCTGATATTGTTGTTCTTTAAGGTAAGTATCGTATATCATGTCTCCTAATAGGCAGATGTTGAACAAAATCGTACTATGCTATAGACGAAAGTCAGAGGTGGAGGCAGTCAGGTTTGGATTATCGATCATCTTATTCAGAGAGATCGTTTAAAATCTTTGGGTCTAAAAAATATTTTCGGTGTTTTAAACCATATGTTCTACGGAGAGTATTCTAAATTGTAAAGTAACTCTAACCAAAATGATTAATACAAAGAGTATTCAATATTAAATTTTATATAAAAATGCCTAAACAGACTTTTCACTGATATAAGCCGTAAAGCTATCTGTCGAGTTTGTCATTACTTAGGGTGAAAATATAATTTTTATAAGTATCTATTCGAGTAGTTTATTTCTAAATTATTTAATGATTAATTAAATTTGCTTTTAGGGAAGTAGGAATTTATTTTTATAGCATGAGAAACCAAATATTAAACGTTATCATATATTATAAAGTTGCGTTTACGACTCACGCGGAACAATTGATCTCGATTTTCTTCCCTGAGATCAGCTTATTGGTTCGTTTCGATAAAAAATCGATCCTTTGTTCAAAGATTTCGATATGTCAACCGAGAAAACCGCCGTGTATAGTGTGTCTATGTAGGTAAGTATACGAAATTAAATAGAAAATTAGGGCACAAAATATTACTGTTTATCTATGACTATTGGGAGTAACACTTAGAGATTTTGTTCAAATTTAAATGTGTAATAACGGTGGCATTAACTGTTGAACATCTGCGAAAGGGCAGGAATATAGGGAAATGAAATAAAGGCATAGCTTCTTTCAGGCTCTTTCAAAAAGTCCACAAAGGTCTCAGTGAATAACCACCGTTTTACTGAGACTTTATTTCACCCGATTGCATCTCGTTTCATTAAATTTCATCCCAATTTTATTAAAGCCTCAAACTAATCAACTTCAGCTCATTTTGCTTCATACCTATTTTTACAGGGTGTCCCAGAACTCAACGTCAAGCCGAAACGGGGTGACAGGATTGATTGTAACCATCGTGAAAAAAATCAGAAAAAAAATATATGCCATGCAGTTTGGAAATTATGGACATTTAAGAAAAACCTAGAAATTTTGTCAAACTGTAACCATTTTTCGGCTATTGTGGTTAATTTTTATTATTTTTGTTCATTTAAACTTTGGAACCGTAGCCTGAACCTGAATACGATTTTAATGTGTTTGGTATAGTAATCGAATATCAATATCGTCAAGTATCGATTAAAGCGGTACTTTACTAGTACTTGATTATTGACATCTGTCAAATGGGATTTCGTAATTGGAATAGAGATTAAGTTGTGTTCTCAAATATTAAGTGTATAATCTATGCCGTATAATCTATGATCTATGAACTAGGTTACAAATTGAGATGAATCTTTCTCTAAAATTAGTAATTTGTGATTATTTTCTTTTCTTTTAAACTGATAAATATAAAGCTTAGGTTCACAACTTGAAATAACATAGTATGAACTTGAATAGTACAAAATTTCAGTGAGTACATTTCGAAGTTTTAATAAACCTCACTAATACTAATTTTTTCTATGTTTTATTTAATGTTTACCTACGTATTTAAAAAAGAGTATACTAAATAATATTGGTAAAATTACAAATATAACATTTTTTCATTAAACCCTATAAAATACTTGTTTTATTATGCAATAATTTAATTAGCCTTGAATACTATTCTTTAAATTCTTTCGTTGCACACCCACAACACCATTCATAATAGTTAAATTCATGGAAACATGCTTACGCGCAGTTCTCACATGATGTCATCCTTACAGCTTAAAAATTTAATGCCAATTTAAAACCAAAAAGTTAAAATACATATATATCAGAATTTATATTATTATATAATAATATAATATTGCATTTGGACCATATTATCTAGTTGCTATTCAAAGTGTAAATTCTACTGTCAACTAAAACTGTATCTAACATAGCAGGTAACATACTGGCATTCTCATATTGAGTTTATTATGGTCTAGTAATTGAATTTCCTACCTGGTGTTATTTGCTTCTAGAGCCATAAATTATTAATCGTATTTTAAATGACATTGTTGAGGTTTCATTACATGACTATTTATGACTTACATGACTCTTTATGATAAAAAATGACTGAGTGATGCAAAACCGTTTTGAATGGCTTGCTTGATAGGTACTTAATTACTTACATAAAATAAGTTTTATTAATTAAACCTTCGAATTTTACTTTTAATTAATTAATTTAGTATTTGTTATATAAATTTTTAGTAGTGTAAGTAATTGTATATTAAAATAAATTGAATATTATTTTACATTGAATAATGCACTAGAAATATACTGGGTATAACATAATCGATCTTGAAAACTACTAAGGAAAAATAATACCTTAATACAGTGATTCTCAACCTTTTTTTTGTTGCGGCACATATTTAACGATTTCAAAATTTGGCAGCACACAAAAAAAAAGATAAAAATTATTTACTTACTACAACACACTGCATAAATAGTTTATCAAAAAATTTTAATATACGAAATAAACTAAAATATACTATAATATTTTTTTTTGTGGATTTAAATATTTTCATGTTTAAAATATTTTTCTTTTAAAATGATATAAGTAATTTAATAATATTAACATTATTATAATATATGTATTCGCAAAATTTGGCGGCACACTTTTGAAATTTGGCGGCACACAAAAGTGCCGCGGAACAGTGGTTGAGAATCACTGCCTTAATACATGTAACAAGAATTCAATACTTACTAGCTAAGTGAATAATGAATACTTGTTGCTTTAGTAAGCTTATACTTTACAAGCTTGCTATCCAAAGTTAAGTGTGCCCTCATCCAATAGAATCATGGATCCAGATAGTTGATTTTTAAATCTACTACATTACATGCTGTATAAGAAAACAAAAACATAACAAAAACCTAAAACAAGCAAAACAAATGGTTGTGGTACAAATCTCAAATGTTAGAAATCTCTTGCAATTGCACTAGAGTTACACATTGCATATTTATATGTATATTATATATTACACCTGGTATATCTTAATATTATTATAATACATAAATAAATATTGTAAATATCATTTTAGTTTCATATATAAATATATAGTACATTGTATTGTTTTAATGTTTAATTCCATTTATATATTTTATTATTATGTGTAACTTATAATACTAAACATATTTCAGATCATGTCACACATTAATGATTTGATAGGTGTAGCCCGTGGCTTACGGCTAGTTGTTGAAGCCAGTACAAAGATGCAGCAGGAAGCATGTAGTATTATGTGGAATAACTCTAGCATTAGGCCACTCCTACAACAATGCCCAACTAACCCACTCACAGCTTATAAACCTAGTGCTGATACTGCAAAAGATGTAATCGAAAGAGCAGTGGTTGTTGCTCATGGCTTAAGGAAATATGTTGTAATGAATGTGCCTAATTTAAACCCTGATATCGAAGGCAAGGTAGAAATGGACCCCAAATTGCAACAGGAGATTGAAGAGTTGAATCGAGAATTCAACAGAACATTTGCCACCTTAGAACAGAAAGTTCAGAATAAAGATAGCCCAGCTGAATTTGTATCACCACTAGAAAATATTAAAATGCAACCTGAGCCATCCAGAATTGAGAAAGATGAAGTTAAAACAGAAATACCCAAGTTTGAAAGTGTTAAACCTAAGTTTGAAACTTTGAGTAATACAACACAATTTGCAACACAAACAATACCAAAACCAGTTGCTAAAAAGAAAATACGTGTATCTGTAAGTTTTGCTTTGTGTTTTTTTTTATCATTTATTCATTTATTACGATACGAAACTGAAAAATTTGAATTTATTTTCAGCTTAGTGAAAATTCCAAAGCTCGTGTAGTACCATCGTCGAGAATAGGTCGTATGATTTCGTTTGGTTCACTAGCAGCTGGACTCGGAGTCGGCACTATAGCACAGTATGCACGCAATACTTTGCAGTCAGTCACAGGACAAGCCGATGAAGCCGCTAATTCATTTTTGTCTCCAGCTAATGCTGAAAGAATTGTTGACACGCTTTGTAAAGTCAGAGGTGTGTAGAAGATTAAGACCTGATCCAGAAAGGGCGAATTCGCCGCGAAACGTTTCGCGCGAAATCATTCGCGCGTTATTGAGATACTAGGCACCAATACATCGCGCCCACAATATCGCACGAATTCAAAATACGCACGTAAATCGCGTGCACTCCGCCAGACTCTCGACTAGAGATACCAGGGACGCCTTGTTGCACCCAATAACTCGCGAACTCCAGAGCGAGTGCATGTATCAAATATCCCCAAATGCTCACGCGTAGGTACGCTCTTTCTGGGCGAACCGTTCGCGCGTGATACGCACGAGAGAATCGAGGCGAATTCGCTCCTTCTGGACAACCTCTAATACAGATATGATTAAAAAACCTTTTTGCTAGTAAATTAGTTTAAATTGCTAATTTAAGCTAAGCAAAACGTATAACATTTTATTAACTGGTTACAGGAGCAGCACTGAAACTAGGTCAATTATTAAGTATACAAGACGAATCTGTGATATCCCCGGAACTTCAACGAATATTCGAGAGAGTACGGCAGTCTGCCGATTTCATGCCAGCATGGCAGGTAGAAAAGGTGATGAGTTCGCAACTTGGACCCGAATGGAGAAGTAAACTACAAAGCTTCGAAGAGAAACCTTTTGCTGCAGCTTCTATAGGTAAATCTTATATGTCGCATCGTACTGATATGTTTTAAATGAAATTTAAATAAAGGCATAGTTTAAAAAAATTGTATTAAAATCTTAAAGTTGTTACTTTTTTATGCTATTTTCTTAAATTATTGTTGAATAGGGCAAGTGCACTTGGCTGTACTGCATAATGGTCGGGAGGTCGCAATGAAGGTTCAATATCCCGGAGTCGCGAAAGGGATTAACAGTGACATTGACAACCTTGTAGGAGTTATGAAGGTAAATAATGAATATATCGACGCTTGAAAGGCAAACGTGACTAAGCGACAATAACTGCTTTGTGCATAAATGATAGGCAATAACCATATTCGATGCGCAAAAAATATATATTTCTAGATCTATTAAAATCATTTCATTCGCTAGCTAGATTCGTTAAAATAGATTTTTTTTTAGGTATTTTAACTTTAAATTAGCCTACTGTAAAGTTCACGCATTGTTGCTTAGTCACGTTTGCCTTTTAAGCGTCGATATGATAACAGTTAAAAATTATATAAGTTTATCCAGCTGTTGTAAAATCATGTTTGTTTTATTGTACCTGTTTTATTGGATATGTAAAGGTATCATTTATGTTTTGTGTGAATCTCTAACACTGTACCTATTTTTCAGTCTAGGTTCGTTCTTTTCATTACTCTTGATTTACATCTAGAAGTGGTACATTAGATCAATCATTATATTTTATTGGTGGAAAAAGATCTGTAATCAATTTAATTTTGGTGCACAATAAAAATACTTTTACTCTGTGCATAATATGTTCTACTATAGTTAGGAATACAAAAGAAGTTACTTGTATCACTATTTTATATCAATAGCGATATTCATCAAAAATTAGAAGGCCAATACAGGCCAAAGTGGCCAAAATGCGAAAGTTTTGATAATGAGGTTTCAAATTATGCTTTCTCGGCCCGATGTTCTATGCACCTCATATTGAAATAATTTTGATTAACCCTGTGTAAAAAATTCGAAGAAAAAGTATTTAATTTTTTTAGCTTTTTGCGTCTCACAGTAATTAAGTATGAAAACCACACATTGTCGTATTATAATGAAACGAATGTATATGTAAATTGTGGTCTTCAAATATATATATGTACAAGGATAAATAATAATTTATCTTAAAACTGATAATTACAGGTATGGAACATGTTTCCTAAAGGCATGTTCATAGATAACGTTGTGGAAGTGGCGAAAAAAGAACTAGCCTGGGAAGTCGATTATATACGTGAAGCGGAATGTACTAGAAAGTTCAAGACTCTATTGGCACAGTATCCTGAATACTTCGTTCCTGACGTCATAGGTATGAAACTTTAAATATTAAAATAATAATATATTGGCAATAAAATTAGTTTTTTTTTACCGTATAATCTTCAGCATACTTTATTTTTCAGACGAATTGTGCGCACAGGAAGTGATAACAACAGAACTGATAGACGGCGTACCTCTCGATAAGCTATTCGACGCATCCTATGAGACACGCGTCGATATCGCGTCCAAGATCATGAAGCTGTGCCTCAGAGAAATGTTCGTACTAAGATGTATGCAAACAGATCCGAATTGGGCCAATTTCTTCTACAATACTAATACGAAACAGGTAGATGCTTATAAGAAATAGCGTTTCATTGAAATAACTATACTTGAGACCTTAGAACTTGTATCTCAAGGTGGGTGGCGCATTTACGTTGTGAATGTCTATGGCCTCCAGTAATCACTTAACACCAGGTGGGCCGTGAACTCGTCCACTCATCTAAACAATAAAAAAAACAATCATTAAAATAAGTATACATATTCTTTAAATTATTAATTTGTACTCACTTGAAAGGTAAATTAATGTTAAGTGAGTAATAATATTTCACTTTTATGTGTGTTACCGCATATATTTTCTTGCTTTTAGGTAATATTGTTAGATTTTGGAGCTACAAGAGAGTACTCCAAGGAATTCATGGATCAGTACATTGAGATAATTAAGGCAGCCTCATTGGGCGATCGCGCTGCTATATTGAGAATGTCGCGTGAGATGAAATTCTTGACTGGCTATGAATCTAAAGTGAGTACGATAATCGTTCGTAATAAAAATAAAGAGCTTTAGAATTTAGTATCCTGGAAACGCATGAGACAAGCAAATCCAAACCGAATATATATATATATATATATATTAAACAAGACAATAACTCCAACTTGAAATAAAGTCTAAATCCCTTGTTGTCATTAACCACCTGCTTTACAAGGTTTTAATAATTAAAATGGTACGTTGATTTCTTTCGTTTATAAAACGCATCAAAAATACAGGGTGGCCCATAAGTCATTTGATATGAAAAAAAAATTATTAAAATAAAACTAATTACATTATGAATTAAATTTTTATTTACATAAAAAGCTTAAAAAACGGGAATTATTTTTTGAAAATAACATCTCCTAAATGTAATCCGTTGCGATCACGGCACTCTTGCAAACGACGTCTAAAATTGTCGATGACTGCGCGGCACGTCACTGCTGAAATGCTTGTCATTTCTCTGCGGATGTTTTCTTTTAGGGCCTCAATTGACCGCGGGTTTGTGTCGTATACTTTAGCCTTAAGGTAGCCCCACAAAAAAAAATCCATCGGGGTCAGATCTGGACTACGTGGAGGCCAGGAAATGTCTCCTCTCTTAGAGATAACTTTGCCAGGAAAAAGTTGACGGATAACGGGCATAGCAGTGTTAGAGGTGTGAGAAGTGGCCCCATCCTGTTGAAACCACGTCCTGGCATTAAAGCCTGAAAAGTTTTGCAATTCTGGTATGAAAAACTCTTCGATCATAGCCACATATCGCTCCGACGTAACAGTAACTGCGCGCCCTCTGCCATCCTCAAAGAAGTAAGGCCCTAGGATACCATGGGCTGACATAGCGGCCCAAACAGTCACTTTCGGACTATGTAAGGGCTTCTGATGCTTAAGTTTTGGATTGATGGGGCTCCAATAGCGGCAATTTTGTTTACTAACATGCCCGTTAAGATGGAAATGAGCCTCGTCAGAGAACATTATGTTATTGAAGGAAGTAAACCGATTCAACATTTCATTCGCATAATTTTGTCTTTGAATACCGTCAGTTTCCTTTAATTCTTGAACCAACTGAATTTTGTAAGGGTGCATATGTAAATCTTTCTTCAAAATCCGTTGTAACGATGTCCTGGATACGTTTAATGCTCTGGCGCGCTTACGAGTTGACTGTGTCGGATTTTCGCGAATAGACTGTGTCACTGTGTCTATGTTTTGTTCCGTACGTGACGTCCTTGGGCGACCCAACCGCGGTTTATCTAACGTCGAACCGGTCTCCTCGAACTTAGCAACCCAGTTCTTAATCGTTTGAAGAGTTGGAGTGTCGTCAAAGTTGTGTAAACCTTTGTGTTCTCGAAATTTACGCCGCGCAACGGTTGCCGAATTGTCGTTTTTATAAAACTCGCGCACACAAAACGCACGGTCCGCTCCGGTAAAACGCTCCATCGCGACTAAATTCCCAGAAACCGAAGTTACTCCCCCCGCTTCCCCTGCACCGCTCACGCGCGCCCTGTTCGTTTTATTCAAATTTTACTTTTCAAAGGACTTATGGGCCACCCTGTATATTAAAATTTAAAACATAAAAAAATATTGTTGAGACTTTTCTTAATGTAAAAGCGGGCTTTTCTGATACCAATACGTACTTCCATCTGTCGTTTGTTGAAAATATACAATGCGATTGAAAAAGCATCATAATATTAAGTAAATTATTTTTGAAACAACATTCAGGATCTCTTTATACCCGTCGTCTTGGCGTCAATTGTTTCCTATTTCAATTCGGTTTTGACCATTTCTTCACTAAATAGTTAGAAAAATAAAATCGAAACATTAGATGGACTAATTCATATTCAATTACTATTATCGTGTTAACACTATCACATGCCTGCAGTACTGCGCATTACCTCACCAGTTATGCGTTATGTCTATAATACAGTTTCATGTTACAGATCATGGAAGAAACGCACGTTGACACTGTCATGATAATGGGCGAAGTATTCACCAGTGAAGGCTCCGGCGATTTCGACTTCGGAACCCAACAAACAACGAGACGGATACAAGCCTTAGTGCCGACCATACTAACGCATAGACTCTGTCCGCCCCCGGAGGAAATATATTCATTGCACAGGAAGCTCTCGGGCGTCTTTCTGCTATGCTCAAAGATGAAAATTAAAATGAACTGCAGGGATATGTTCAATGAGATTTACGATCAATATAAGAGCAACAGCCTCAGGTAATTGTTGTTATGAAATCTACATAGCATAATTGTCGTTGTCAAACTAATATTTGTTGTGTGCACTCTTTGGTAATTTCAACATTTGCACCATCATAACCACGCTATATAAGACAGAAGTAAAGAAATTTGGTTAAAGTTAAGTTTTTATTCAACATCACAAAGTAATGGTAGGTGGTGGTAGGACCTCTTGTGAGCCCGCGCGGGTAGGTACCACCACCCTGCCTATTTCTGCCGTGAAGCAGTAATCCGTTTCGGTTTGAAGGGCGGGGCAGCCGTTGTAACTATACTTAAGACCTTAAAACTTATATCACAAGTGGGTGGCGCATTTACGTCGTAGATGTCTATGGGTTCCAGTAACCGCTTCACACCAGGTTAGCTGTGAGCTCGTCCACACACCTAAGCAATAAAAAAAAATACATTTAGGACATAGCATATTGATTTGACAACGACGGTGTAGTGTTAAATAGTATTATTGAAAACGAAGCTACTTTTCTTAAATTCGAAAATATGAGAAAAATAAAAACAAGTATGTCACAACAAGTTGTTGGTGGAAAGAGTTTTTGATTCGGCAATAAGATTTTTGGTTTATTTTATAAAATGTATTTTAACTGTCATGCTTTCGAAGAGTTGCTTTTTTCTAGGACAAAACGAGAACAATATACCATGGTGAATAAAAAGTTTTTCACTATAAATCGAACAATCAACTTCATGATAATTATTTTCAGTAGCTATTTTATTAAAAAACAATTGAATTTAACATAGAGATCAAAACTATTAATATTTATTAATAGATTTCAATCATAATGTTAATTTTGTTGCATTTCTTGCATTTTGTTGCATACTTAGAATAATTTTTTATAGAACTAACACGAATTCTAATAGTCAAATTGAATGTCACAGTTAAGAGTGTTGAGGAAAAACTTGTCGATAAAATTATATATTTATAATTTTTAAATAAATCTTTGACTTATGCCTATTCATTGTTTATCCAATTGAATTGAAACAGCTGCTATTTGCATTTCAAGATTTTTTTTAAATGCCAATAGTGTGGTAATTTCAACAAATGCTTATAATTAAGACTTTCAACGTGCTGATCAAAAGTTACTAATTCTATACACATATGAGTGATGGGTGAGTTTAAGTTGTAATTATATTACATACATATATGATTTTCGTGACTATAACAGTTTTAAGTGCAAGGTACAAACTAATAATATAATTTGTAACTAGACTGTTTATGTATCTTGAAAAGTAATTTATTAATTATCAATAATTAATTATCAATAATTTAACTTTTTTTTTTTGAGTAGTGGTGACAGTAACACGAAAATGATTTTAAAGTTATTAGTCGTAACAAATATCTTATTTGACAGGGTAATATACCAATTATAATGAGTGATAAAGTTTTAACAGATTGGGCCTTGTGATACTAATGTGCATAATTACTTAATATAGTGAAAATACATAAACTAGTGAAAACGAATTATTGTACTGATAATATTATGTGCGCAACTGATGTACATGTTATTCGAGAAGGCTTTAATTTCACATGAGAGACTTTCCAGTTAGTGTTATTATACAAATAAATGAAAAATAAACAATTGCACGGTGATAAATAAATTAGAGTTATAGGAACTGCAAGAAAAAATAATAAATATCCTAATCACTATTTCTTTACTGAAGACAATTTAAAAAATATATATTTTCATAATATGATTGTTTCTTTATTCTGAAAGTCGACATCGAATATAGAGATCATCTTTATTTCGTAATAGATCCTATATTTCATTAGGACTTTAATGTAATATCAAAATGTAAACAACATTGAAATGTAGTGACTTAGTTATATTTAGTTATGTGTAAATAAAGTCCTTGTAACGTAAATCTTTGGATACCCTATCCTTTTAACTGCATCATTCAATTTAACAGCAATAAATAGTTGACACGTGATGAGTGTTTACTCTAAAATACCTGTGTCTATAAAATTTGTACGGTGCTATCTTTTCAAAAGCCAACCTCAAAAATAATAAAGTTATTAGGTACATAAAATGTTTTTCAAATAGCATTGTAGGTTGAACAATGTAGTACATAGTGCGCGTTAATATTATCATATAATTTATGTGTATTAAGCTTGTAAGAGTAAAATTAATTAAGTTCAATAAAATCAGCTTTGTGGAAACTAACTGTTTTTTATTATAAACCCAATTTTAATTTAAAATTATTTTTAAGATATTATATATTAATTTTATATTCTTTGTTATTCATAAAGGAGCGAGGAGGAGAAAGGAGGACAGGTGCAATAAAAGTCGAATTATTACACAGAAACTATATTATAGATCAAAAAGGCATTACAGAACATTATTAAAGCGATAGTACATTGATTTTGAAAACTAAATAGTATTGATAACACTTAAACATAGATTTAAATTGCTGCCCAGATTAGGTACTCTATAGATTATTCATGGCAACCCCGAAGATAAAAGAATAATAGCACATAAACCATGACAGCTCCAATTACCGATTGAAAAAATGTATTTAGCACTGTTCCTTATATAAAGTGAGGGGGCTGCCATTATTTCTTGGTAAATAATACTACTCATAAATATAAGTTCTGCAGAGTACCTAAAATGCCCTGTACAATTTTCATTCTAAATAGTATTACACTATAGGCTGGAATTATCTAGAACGAGTTTAGTGTTGCCAGATAATATTTTAATCGTCTCTAAACCTACCATAGGTACTCTAAGTATTGTCAGATCTTACACATTAAAACTACTTGAAAAAAGCAGTAAAATATATTTTTCTAATCAAATGATCTCTATGTAATCCTTATTTTGTATGTCATGAAAAGAAGAAGTCGTAATTAATGTATCTGGATCATACTTACACTGTTTTTTCTGAGCCCCAATGCTTAGTTTACCGCATCGACCATACTATCTGACAGATATTTTAAGCGTGTAGACTGTCTGGATTGAACAGACGACGAGACTTTTTAAGTTTAATTATTCATAAAGGTAGTAGCAAAACGTAGAAAATATATCATTAAAATCTAATGTCTTATTTCCGTTGTAAACAATATAGTGAGATATCTATCTCTCTTTTTTACTTCCATAGGCAACATTTATTGGATTTTTTTTTTTTATTTTAGCAATCTGGTAATATGTTTTGAATTTATTGTAATTATTAGACATGCACTTCTTGTATGTATGTACGTGTAAGAACTAGGCAACTTCGTACTCTCTTTTTTTGCAATACAACTCCATATTATTTCGAGTATTTTATAATAATACATTTTCAGCTGAAATTGTTATGTATCTTCCTCCTTTTATTTTGACTCTCACATTCAAATTCCATTTTGAATTAATATTCCATTTTAAAACCTAAAGTAGCTGTAGTGCTCCCGACTAATTAAAAAAAATCAAATTACGTCTGACATGATCTGGCCAATACGTGTATGGCTTACCCTATAACAAGTGAGAGGGGTCTAAAAACATATATGGCAGGCGCAAGTGCTACTTATAAATCCCACTATGTGGCCCCAAGAAGATGGGTATGGAATATCAGTCTTAATAATTCCTATCTCCTTGTGTTGAACGAGTCAAAATGATAATGATACGAGATTTGAGTTATAAAAGAAATTTTAAAAGATTCTCCCAACTTCTTAATATATTATTAAGAATTTATAGCAGAATGTCTCTTCAATCTGAGTCGCCATATGATTTGTACCAATATAGCATGTATTTCATAATTTTGTGTTGATAATAAGCTACAATCAAACAGCGGTCTAATTTATTTGATGGTATAATTGATACACAGAAATACATGAAATGACAAACTCTAATAAGTATGCTTATACTAAATAAGGATCAGCACTCTTATTTAAACTAAAACTACGTAATTTACTACAAAGATTTTTTTTCTATCTTACGAAGAAGAAATTTCAAGTTGTTAACTTTCTTCCGTAGGTTAATCTGAGTTTAAATTAAAAAAAAACTGATTTCGACACTTATGTTCACGCATCCATGAATTTTTACTAAAGTTCGAATCATATTCAACACAATCTCAGCACAGAGCATAAAAGTTAACCCATTTTGAGCGTTACCTACATCTTACATACAGATCATTTGGGTGTATTGGATTAGAACAAAAAACCATTAAAAAAATTGGCTTTATGAGTAGTCCCTATTAACAGCAACGCTCTTGTAAACAAATGTCACAACGTCATTTGGTTTGTCGGATCAGCTGAATGTAGTAAGTTAAGGATCCATTTTGTAATGAGTTTCACAAATGATTTACTGCAATTGCCTATTTTAGACTGCATCTGCCTATTTTGAAAAAGGTAACTAAGTAACTAATATAATATGTGTTCATCTCTACAAAGGCGAATAACTAAATAAATAAAGGTACTTGAAGCTAAATTTAAAACTGGATTTCGCTCTGCTCTGTTGCGACTTTGTGGAAAAGAACACATACAATAAAATAGTGTAAAAGCACAAAATTCTAAAAACAGTTACAGTGCTATGCTTTCTAGACAGAGATGAGTCTTTTCAGAGACGCCATCAGAGTGCTATAATCCTCTCTTACAACTAATTAGGTTTTATTTACTGAATGAACGTTTGCTACTGTAGAATATTAAGATATTAATTTCACATAAACACTACTAGCTATTAATCGATTAAGTGTATATTAAACATCAGCGCTTCTAAACTTTGTAATTGATAGAACAAGCCAATGAAATTTTAATAAAATAACGCTAATATTAATTATCACTTACGATGAATTTCAAAAGGAATCTAATCATTTGAAGAACCCAACGATATTTACTATCAACATACTAACGTAACTAACTATCCTCTATAATTAACAGAGTAAAAAGCTGCAGATATAAATTATCTCTAACATATCAATAAATTCTAATTAATTGAAAAACACTCATGCTAAATCTTTGAATATTTAAACGGTTACGTGTTTAATTCTAGAACACTGACTATAAATTGAAGCTTTAATTAAATAACATCGATTAAAAATTAAAATGCTTACTGGATTTAATTGTTGGGGTTTTGATTGGCCTATTCAATGTACATATTACGAACACGGTTATAATGAATGTTTATTATTGTGTGCATATCAGAGAAATTGGTAACACCCTGTATCATCCTTACTGTCAATGAACTTCTGCACTGCCCGAAGGTAGAAACCGACAGTAGAAAAATTCATTAATGCTCACAAAGCTTCCATACGTAAACAAACAACGTGGCCGACAATCTTTTGCATTAGCTTCAATTATCCATTCAAAATAATATATAATTTATTCATATATAGCGTGTTCAAGCTGTTGTCGTTGTGATTTCGTGTTTATTTGTCGACCAAAATGTTTGGTTACGGTTCTGGCCTCCAATCCGTCAACAGGTGATCTGTCGCTTTTAATCGAAATTTTGAATACTGTTTGATTCACATCTGTAAGGGTTGCGACCGTTTCTCTATGCACCTACGAACGTTTCTGTTGTCGATTGTAATGAAGCATGATTGGTTCAGTAATGATTATTTACCGCGCTTTAAGTTGGTTATTAGTATATTTTCGCCAATCAACAACAAAAACGATCACAATCAGTAATGTATCCTACTTTATTTTCTACTCTAATATATGTAGTATATTTATTAAATTAACGCATAGTTTTTCTAACATTAATACATTAATTGTGAATGTAATGTAAACACGTTTACTAAAAGTATCAATATGTCGTTAGAAATATTTTTGCAATAACAGGATGAAAGATCGCAGAGCCCCGTACAAGCAGTCACAGTTCCGCGTTGTCAAAGCTTGAAACTGAACTCCTCAGGAATAGGTAACAATCGAACGAAGATACATCGTGATATTTGGAGACACGTCTACTGTATAAGGGACCTGAAAGGTTGGAAATATGAGAATTCGCTTAATGCAATACCGCATAGCAGAGAAACGGTCTCGGATTGACGACCGGATCCGTTCTAGATGGAGGATACTTGTTAAGGAGAAGTACGTCCGAATCCTTTAGGCGTTGGACTCCTTGAGGTCGGTGAGTCTCGCCAGCTGGGCGGGCTCTAGTTCATCGGGGATGGAGGCGCGACCGGCTCGTGGGGCAGCGGGTGGAGAGTGCGGGCCTGTTGAATCGCCCTCCGAGCCTGTGGAGCTAGAGGTCGGCTGCGGACGCACGCACACCGCGGTTTGCTCGGACAGCGACGACTCCTCGTCGTCGTCGTCGATCTGCGGTTGCGGCTGCGGCTGCGGCTCTGCGGGCGGGAACGGTAGTTCCGGCTCCTCGACCATCGGGGTGGCCGCTGTGATCACAATCTGCGCGACCCCCAGCCCGCACTCGCCAGCACTTGGCAGCTCAACTGGCGGCGGCACAGGCTTTACCACCGGCATCGGCTGCGGCATCTCTTCTTCGTCCTGTGGTAAATTAATGATTAATATTAATACGTGAAGCAAAATTTTTGTATCCCTTTTTACGCAAATTGCGCGGACGGAGGAGTATGAAATTTTCCACACTTATAGAGATTATAGAGAAGAAGTGCACAATGCTAATATTTTTTTTAAATAATGCAAAAAGACACATTAAATCAATAAAGAAAACATTACATACACTACCATGTATTTGACACACACACGCATGCATACTATTTGTTTATTGTCAAACTTTTCTTTGCAGTCTCTCAGTTATAGTCTGTTAAATTGAGAATAGATTAAATATTGTTTTCTCTTTATTAATATTTGTCTAAAGTGTAGTCTTGACGAAATCTGTGATTATTAAAGAAGTATAATATTCCATGACAATAGAATCATAATAGTGTACAAACTTATAATTTCCATAAGTTATAGTCGAATTTCGACTACCAGGGGACAACTAGTGATTATTAATAATTATAACTTGATTCACGGTGATACCTCCTAAGTAGTAGATAAAATTATGGAAATAATAAACAGATAAATAATGTAAAAGACGTCAATATCTAAAAACAGTGCATATGTTACGGTAAAAGTAGATGTTGCGGCAAATGTAACACATTTTCCGGTAAATGTGCACGTTTGCCTCCTCGTTTGGCTAATGTGCATTCAACTAACATTTCCAATTTCAAAGAAGGGTAATGTAAATTGAATTCAATTGTACTTGAATTCACAAGTACATACACATTATATTCAATTCACATATACCTAACTTTTTAGCAAATGTGCACATTTACCGGTAAAAGTGTACATTTCCTAAGAGTGTACATTTACCGTAACACATACACATTACAAAATGACTATTGTTTCAATATTATCATGGGAAGTTCAATAACATTCTCAGATTGGATATTAATCAAGTAGTTAAGCTAAAGGCTATTGACCTACAAAGCGGTAAGGATTTATGAACCTAATTGATGTTCGGTGACGTAGCTAGGACCGTTCGTGACTCCGTCCAGCCGGAACTCATGTATTGAGTCATTTAAGGGGCAAGATACTAAATCAAGTCAAAGGCTTTAAAATTCGAATGAGTATTTCATATAGACTCTCATATCGTGGCCCTAATTACGGCACTGTTGATGGCGGGGTAACTTTATTGCAACTTGTCCACTTCCACTTGAACTATGGTAAAATAGTAAATTATACGTAAGGACATGCTAATTGTAATTGGTAGTGGACTTAACGCACAAAACATTAATGTTATTGATATCATTTTTAAATGTATGTCATTCCATTGTTTACTATTAAAGGTCACTGGTGGTAAATCATATTATATGTAGTTAGCAGTTCACAAAAAATATTAGGTCACTATATGAAAAGCAGTCACGCGAGCCGATAACTTAACTAATAAAAACTCAATTTCAGTCAAAAATTATATATAGAAAGAACATTCACAAGCACATGCCTGAAGAGAGGTGAGCTAAAATTATCTCCTAAAAAAACGTTAAATTTTTTAGCCATAACAAAAAGTAAATATGTTTTCCGAACAATAGGAAACATTTAAATAAAATAGTTTCGAAACTCATATATCCGAAACGAGTTGAGCGAATACTTTTACGTTTTGTTATGACGTTCCTTTTTTAATTAATAACTTCATAAAAGCAACATAAAAAAAAACAGAAAGTCAGCACGTAAACGTTACACAGACGTCACATAGCGATTATATTTATATCAAACCTCATCATCGAAATTATCGCTGGCAACCTCATCAACTGTAGCATGGAAGAGAACGAATTATTTACTAATATAATAATAATGTTCACAATGAAATTTACTGTAATCATTTAATTCGTTTTTCTACTTTTCTTTCTTTTTTACTTTCCTTTTTTCTGCAGAATAAATGGCGATACAAAGTGTTTTATGTCTAAAATATCTAGTCGGAAACAAGATATGTATGTTGAAAAGCCATTCGCTTTCGTGTTGTTGAGGACACTGAACCGAACTTTTGTATCGTAATACACAGCAATGCAATTCTAAAGACCTACAAAATCCCGGATATTTCAATATACATACAAGGTTTTCAAAAGATAAAATCATTTTCACTTTCTGACTATATCACGTATCCGATTTTCAAGAAAAGCTTAACTTCCATCTTGCTTTATGTATTTCAGGAAACTAGATACACCTATTTTTTATTTGTTTAGGCTTAGAACTTACGACCACTTCAAGCGCTTAGGTACCGTTACTCAAATATGTAGTATCAGTGCATTTATGGGTGCATTTCTGCTGTGTAATGTAATATGGAATCTTTCATTGTATGAATTGAACTAAAGAACATAAAAAATAATGTAGTCAACTTTGATTCGGGGAAACCTACATATGAGTATATTTTAATATTGTATAAGTGTAGCTATAACAATCATTTAAGTATATATTTCTATTGTTATAAACAGCTACGTCAATAAGGCGAGTGCGGATCTACAAAAATCAAGAAATCTCAGCAGACATATTACGGAAATACCTACTATTCTTCTAGTTAATACTAGTATGTATTTCAATTGTACCAAAAGAGGAAAATTATGACGAGAGGCATTTGATTTGTTAGGTCCAGTAGTTTTTGAAACAGTACTTGCGTAGTTTTAGTTAATTGAAAATTAATATCTTGGTTAGCCTTTTAAAAATAATTTTGTTATTACTCATGAAAATCGTTTGAATACGTCGCTTACCAACAATAGTGACTGGGGGCGGCACGGGTGGGCCGGCGGGCTCCGAGAACTGCATGCCGTATTGCTCCTGCTGGTTCCTGGTCAACTCTAGGTTAAAGCTAAAGTCGGGCTGGCTGTCCATCGAGTCACCGAGATCAGCTGGCGGCGGCGGTGGTGGTTCAAGAGGAGGGGCCGCGCTGCTCTCGTTTACCGCAGCTAGCAGCGTCCAGTTACCAATTTATGATCAGTGTTTGAATTCGGAACGTCAAAAGTAACAACGAGCGACGTCCGCTATGACACTTTTCCTTTTTCAATTCCAGCCGCCAAGGGCGACGCATCTATTTAATATTTCTTAAATTCATATATCTTTAATTTGTCACGTATGAACTAATTAAAATATCAAACTAATAATACAATCCACTCTCATTCACCACAACGCAACAATCAGCGTTACAAATATTAACGAGTGCGCGAAGAAAAATCACAATTTTAATATAACACGAGCTTATAAAAGTATTATAAATGCAACCGAACATCCGATGTGACAAGTCTAGAGTACATACGCGAGTCACGCAGAATATTTAAGAGTCGTTCTGTTCTGAGGGACGTCTGACTATGAACTGATACAGTCATCTGCCATCCTCGAGCTCTCGAGACTAGTGTGGGTAGTTTTAAATCAATCAAGGCCCAGGTGGGGTGTGCTGCACAGTGTCCTAGTTAAACTGAACAATTTTCTGGAAATTTCTAATGAATTAACAAGGTGAAGCTTGTATCCTGTATGCCTGGTTCGAGAAAGCTACGGGAAATTCACTTTAAATTATACGGAAAAGCCAATTATTGGTGTAGGCCGGAAATGTTGCTACGCTTGCTTCTTTAATATGATTTACTCATCGAACCCTAATTGAAATTGTTAATAGTATTATGGCAAACAAATGGGACCACATACTTCGCGTCCATTACGACAACCATTAATCGAGTTTCACGACCATTTGATAGTTTTAAATTGTTAGAAAATTTACTAGACGACGTATTCAGGTTCCATTACCGAATAAAACAAGTTTTCACGGCAATTTGTTGCACTGAGCGTACTCCACTTTCTACCTATTGCCACAGCTTTATTCGATAAAGCGGTTGCGATACGACTCTGAAAATGTTTACGCAAAACCGGTACTGATTTTCACGTACAGCTTTATTAAAATGAAGACATTGTCTGCTCCGAGTATACAATTTTACAATTGCTTAAATAAGCCCGTGTATTCCATAATGTTATAATCCATGCAAATTTAGTTTGGCAACTCTAACTCATATACGTATTTTGACATGAATATGGAGCGGTGTCCTAATTGTGTTACTTGTAACTTGCGTAGAACTCCGTTTCAGACGAACTATTAATTAATTAAATGCATCTCTCCTAGTCGCTAAACGTAATATCGTGATCGCCTAATTGCCTCGGGAGCCAATAGGAAGTAGTTTGTATTTTCAAGTCACTTTTTGGGAGATATTTATAATAATTTCTATTTCATTTAATTGGCTTTTGTATGATTTTTAATGGTCCTTTATTGTATCTGATCTGACTAGCATGACTACTATTAGTATATGTTAATTTTAATTTTAATTTTTATTGGTTTGATGGTTGGACGAGCTCACGGCCCACCTGGTGTTAAGTGGTTACTGGAGCTCATAGACATCTACAACGTAAATGCGCCACCCACCTTGAGATATAAGTTATAAGATCTTAGTATAGTTACAACGGCTGCCCTGCCCTTCAGACCGAAACGCATTACTGCTTCACGACAGAAATAGGCAGAGCGGTGGTACCTATCCGCGCGGATTCTCAAGAGGTCCAACCACCAGTAAAGTAAGTAATTAATTGCAAGCGGCTATAATAACTAGAACGTTAGTTTGATTCTGATTATAACTGGAATCTTTTACTGGGTATTCTCACAGATTATTACAAAACGTAGGTACTACAAAATTACATGAAAAATGAGATTAGGGAACTCAAAACGTATTTATGTATAGTGCAGTTGCAATGAATTAGCTCTTAGAGACTCGAGTTAATAAAACTCATTTATAATGGGCCTTCTTGGTAAGTTTCGTTGAATTGTAACACAATTTAATTCATTGCGTTTAATGTGGAACTTTCTTGAAACTTGAATTTCTATTTTTACTTAAAAGTTTGTTGTTTGAGTCAGTTCAGAGAGAAATAGAGAGCAGCCGCAGGGAATCTACAATGTTCGTCTACAAAAGGGAGAAGTTGACATTCTTATGAACACCAAACTACTTAATATATGTAGATTATAGACAGTCGAAGTCGTCGTAGCCTAAAGGATAAGACGTCCGGTGCATTCGTGTCGAGCAATGCGACTGTATCGGTGTTCGAATCCCGCAGGCGGGTACCAATTTTTCCAATGTAATACGTACTTAACATATATTCACGATTGACTTCCACGGTGAAGGAATAGCATCGTGTAATAAAATTCAAACCAGCAAAATTATAATTTGCGTAATTACTGGTGGTAGGACCTCTGGTGAGTCCGCACGGGTAGGTACCACCACCTGACCTATTTTTGCCGTGAAACAGTACTGCGTTTCGGTTTGAAGGGTGGAGCAGCCGTTGAAAGTATACTGAGACCTTGAACTCATATCTCAAGGTGGGTGGCGGCACTTACGTTGTAGATGTCTATGAGCTCCGATAACCATTTACCACCAGGTGTATCGTGAGTTAATAAAAATAAATCGGCCATCTAAGCAATAAAAAAAAGATATATTTAAGATTTCATTACTGAAGGTCAAAGAAGTTAAAGTACTATGATTTAAATAAATTTTCGTATAAAGAATTGAAATTTGATATGAATGGTGTACCATTTAAAAGGAGAACTTAAGCACGTATTGTGGCAAAAAAACATATACGAGTAGATAACAATACAATTTTAATGTCCATATTTAAACCAGACAAACAAGAATTATTAACAACATTGTTATTGCAAACTTAAGTAGTATTTGAGTAGCATCATATTTATCGGACCAGCTCAGCACGTGTATGTACCGCATGTATAGTAGAGCGAAATGCATATCTATAATTTATATTGTGCACTGAGTTTCTCGCCGGATCTTCTCAGTGGGTCTCGTTTCCGATCCGGTGGTAGATTCTGCGAAGCACTGCTCTTGCTAGGGTCAGTGTTCGCATCACTCCGGTTTGAGCCCCGTGAGCTCACCTACACGCTAGGGTAACGCTGATATAGCATAGATAGGAAAAAAAATTGCGATCCCATAGCCACCCCACATAGAACAATCAAGTAAAGAGTTATGGTATTTATAAATACCTTCATCTGAAGCACCTGGTGGTGAGGTCGGTGGTGAAGCGAAGACCGGAGGAGCGCATCCAGATGGGGTCCAGTCCTCTTCAACGACACTCAGTGGTTCTCCATTCTAACAGTATATGAGTTTTAGATTAGCTGATCCATTTCAGAAGCTGTACCACATTGAACACAACATTAATTGAGTTCGAGGAATGGTCCTGACGCTAATACTGAGATCTTTTTTTTTATTGCTTAAATGGGTGGACGAGCTCACAGCCCACCTGGTGTTAAGTGGTTACTGAAGCCCATAGACATCTATGACGCAAATGCGCCACCCGCCTTGAGATATAAGTTCTAAGATCTCAAGTATAGCTATAACGGCTGCCCCACCCTTCAAACCGAAACGCATTACTGCTCCACGGCAGAAATAAGCAGATCGTGCTGATCGAGAGGAATCTTTCTTCAAACGACATTTGAAGTGTTTCCTCAGCCGCAGGCAGTGACTAGTCTATGTCCACGAGAAACGGCTATCAATTACCATCTAGTGGACCTTATTATAGTCTGCTCAAATCGGCCATTAATTAAAATAGGAATTTAGAAATATATTTATTGTATTTTAAAATGAACATAAAGTAGAACATTTTCTTTTTTTTTTTAGGTGTAATACGTACTAACAAAATTAGCATTTGTATATGTACCAATTAAGACAACTGTCAGAAACCGAGAACTAAAGTTTGGTCGCTTCAAAAGTTCCCAAACAACATACAATGTTGTGATATATTAGGAGCAACTACAAAATACATTATGCGTGTATCTGACATCGTTGTGGAGCGAAATTCAAATGGAAACTGAAAAACAGTCCTCTCTGTACGAGTCGAGAGGCTCTTCACTGAGTTAATTAAACTTTATTGTCTTTGTTTGAATTGTATGATGTTTAAAACTCAATACACATTTTAGACTGCTTTCACCTACGTTTGTTTATATAAAGACGACCCGGAACATGTTTCTGTTTGCTTAGTGCGAGTTTTTTAACTTCTCGATCGCGTAAAAGTTAACTCAAATTTGCATGAAGTTGGAACAGCTTCCCTTCGTTTTCCGTTGTTTGATGTCCCTCGAATGTTTTCGTTTTCCTCTTAGAATTTTAAATCTAGGATGAATGCTTACTTTGACATTTAATTCTGTATTCTTTATGAGATGTTTGAAATTTAACCATTTTTCATGTTAATGAAACTGACGACTTGCTTAGGTAGCGGTTGCTACTTACAGTTTAACCGACTTCAAAAAAGGAAGAAGTCATCTCAATTCGATTTTATGCTTTTATGTGATACGTGCACAACTTATTTCTAGCTGACCCGATTTTGATAATATTTTTATTTATTTAAAATAAAGATAAAGAAAATAGGGTACAGAATACATTTTATTAAAAGAAGCTACTACCCTAGAGATCCTTTTTTTACATGAATGCGAACAAAGCCGAGTGTAAGGGTAACGTTTCCTGTAAAATGTAGATAAAACGCGTGATCGTGACCCAATTTACACCAAATACATGTAAATTGAAAGGTAAAATATATTTATATTAATTGTAAAGTATAGAAGTAGCTTACCTCGTCACATTCCTCGACAATGAGAGACGGAAAATTTCCCACAATGCCATTTGTCTCTCCGCGCCACCAACCGTCATCCACATCATGAGCATTACGGGACACAACGCGAATAATCTGAAGAATACACAATCCATGTTTTTTATAATAGGTAAACAACATTGTTACCCCAAAAAACAATGGTAATTGTGTAAACATACCTGTCCCTCTTCAAGGTTGAGCTCATCGCACGCCTCAGCTTCGTAATCGTAAAGAGCAAAGCAGTAACCGAGAGTCGGTAGGTCGACTTTTGGTGGCCCCTGGGCTACAGCAGCGGCCTCGCCCTGAGCTGCTTCTGCGGCTTTAGTCGGTTCATCAGGCTTGCCGACGGGGGCCGAAATCACAGAGATCTGATCCGGTGACTGGACAACGTCAGCGTCTTCACCCTCCACAGTGTAATCCACAGAAGAGAAAGATATTTGGCTTACCAAACCTGGAGCGCTAGATGCCTGATTGTAACAATTGAAGGTATGAATACTGGCTAAATCAATAGAGCGACAATTTACTGAAAAATCACTGATACGTAATATTGTTTTGTAAACGGAAAAGGTAAATATTGAAAGAATAAAGTTCATGATGAAAAAACATTTCCATGAAAATTAAGTAGTAATCATGCGATAAATAGACTATATTTTTCAGTAGTCTCTTAATTGTCCGAATTTCATTTCAGGACGTATTTGAATTGGAATGACAAAACAGCAAAAAGTCAAAAACTGCATTTATGTATTGCATATATCTGTGTCAAAAAACGTACCGATGGGCTTGTATTTTCGATAAACATTTAAACGCTTTTGTAATTACAAGTAATTAACTAATATAAGGTTTTTTTATTTCGGCAACACATACTATATGATTCTCAAAGCTTATTTCATTATATCAATGTAAAGTACATAAAAAAATTAGTACAGCCACTATCATATGGTGATTACAGAGGACAAGCGCGGACGAATTTTTTTCTCGATTTTATTGTGTGTTTTCATAATAAATACATACATGTAGGTATATATAAAGGTATACATATGTCTAACCTGATCATGGTCAACATCGAGATAGTTGTGTGGCACGTAGCCTTCTTCTCCGCGATAGTTCCGAGCTTTCAGCCAACCGTCACCATCGCCTTCTCCAACCACTTCAAGCTGTTCGTTCTCAATGATAGACAACTCATCCGGATTCTGAGCCTATTAACAGAAAATGCAACGGTTTATTTTCGATACAACTGTGTAGAGCAAAGGCTAACAAACTTTGAGAATATATTATTTTTTAGCGCCCTCATTTTTTACCTACTTAAAAAACCACTATAAAGAGAGCTCAGTTGGTATCTAAGAGTCCTCCTAGATAAAATTACAAATTGCCTCCCAAGCCTCTATGCAATGCACCCATTTTGTTTTGAGGGTATCTTACCCCCTTTAGCCCTGCAGCGCCTACAAGGGGGCGTTATCGCCCACTTTGGGAAAGGCTGGACTGTAGAGAGAGAAGAAGTGTTAATGTCTATGGGCTCTGGTAGCCACTAACACCAGGTAGGCCGTAAGTAACACCCATTAAAAGCAGTTTAATTATTATAAAAGTTTTAGTTTTGAGAAAGCACAAGAAAAGCATAAGTTTTCAGAATTGTCACACTTAGATGTTTTGTTATGATTCTCTATAGCTTCTTCTATATATAATTCGTTTATACTCACGGTGTAAGAGTAAAGAGCAGTACACTTGTAAAGCGGTGGTGCTGGTGGTTCTATAGGCTCTGAAGTAGAGGGCTCTGGGTCGGATTCACCCCAGTTCACTTGAGTGGGATCATCCCATCCTCCCGCAAGTTGCTCGATTCGCTGGCGTTCAATCTCAAGGGCAGCTAATATCACAATTTCAATTAAAAATTGTACCATTTTAACGCAATGATTATTCACAGAAGAGAGTATAAAACTTCGAAGGCATCTAAAGACGATCTTCAAAATTTACCAAAACTTTTAACGTAAGTAGTGAACTAAGAAACCGCATTTAAGACATAAAAGTTCTAGAACTGTTCGAGAGTCTTCACATCAAATTAGTTCCGCAGGAAACCACTAACATTTTCAATTCATCCAAAAGTTGGTTTCAAATGAGTACCTGCAAAGTTTGAAATTCCACTCTACAGAACCGTTGGTGAAGTTCCTCGACTTAATCTTAAAGTTTTAAACGAGAAAGGCGCATTTCCTTGCCGCGTTCTAAGTTTCCGTCAGGATCAGAACTAAAAACCGATACGACCTAGACGACGTTAAGGACCAAACTTTCATATCAATTTTTAACGTATACTAAGCAAGTGATGTCGCGGTCCACTTTGTCTGAGTTACTGCACCTTAAGTGCCGACACCCTTCATCGCTCACCGCGACGCACGCACCGCTCACGAAGATGAAGTTTAATTGCAGGGCGTCATATACCACGTCATATACGTCAAATATATATATTTTGAAGTCGTTGTGACTTAAGCTACATACTCGTATAAGACGCTCGGTTTACTCGAATCAAGCGATGCGACAATGTCGGTGCTCGAACGCCGTAGGGCAGATAATAATAATAATAATAATAATAATAATAGATATTGCAATACCTAATTCTGAAAATATAAGGAAAAAATACACTGAGAAAATACAAAAATATATACCACTAGCAGATGAAATACGACAAATGTGGCATCAACACACCGTTAAAATTATACCCATAATAATTTCATCAACCGGACTCATTCCAAAATCATTACACCCATCGCTCTCAGAACTTGATCTTAATAAATATTCATACATCGCTTTACAAAAATCTGTAATAATCGACACCTGTTCCATAGTGCGACGATTCCTTACATCCACTACTCAAACCCCTACAACAAACACTACACAATGAACCAACTCACTTGGCGTAAGCCCGTGCTAGGTTCACACTTACCAGCATTAGCTGAGAAAAAAAATATATCCATAACCCATAATAATAATAATAAGCCTTTTTATTTTTTGTTTTACAATTTTAGGTGGAATATAATATTACATTAAACAACAAATATTGTGACTTTTGTTTGTACGTGTATTAAAATAATTGTAACTTAACAAGAAATCCCGGTTTGGGTTGAGGCCTCCTCCAAAGACGTGTATTAGGAATCCCACCCCAAATTTTGTTTGTACGTGTATTAAAATAATTGTAACTTAACAAGAAATCCCGGTTTGGGTTGAGGCCTCCTCCAAAGACGTGTATTAGGAATCCCACCCCAAATTTTGTTTGTACGTGTATTAAAATAATTGTAACTTAACAAGAAATCCCGGTTTGGGTTGAGGCCTCCTCCAAAGACGTGTATTAAGAATCCCACCCCAAACACTAGAGGGCAGGGCAGATGCTAGTCGTAAAACAGCCATTGAATAATATTTTTGTTATTTTTGTAATCTTTGTAATATAGATGAAATTCTCCACTACTTCTTAAATAACGGCTCTTATTTGCACTTAAAACAACGTCATACAAAACGGCGTAGCACCAATATACCTAAAAACGTAAACGTACCGTCAACCTCATCTTCATGATCGTCCTCATGCTGAGAGCCCGAAGTGGTACGTTGGTGGCCACCAGAGCCACTGGTGCCGGCCACCGAAGCAGCTGCTTCACCCTCAGTGTTGTCGCTATCATAGAAAGAGTCCGAGCTCGGCTGGTCCTACGAGGAATACGTAATGTTCAAGTAGATCACCTTTGCTAAAAGGCTGCTAAATTTAATCTAAGCCCATGAATATTGCTTACTAACATAATTATTTCATACCATTTTTTCTTAATTGAATTTAGCTAATCAAGTTCTAGGTGTTAAAATAATCTGACTGTTGTTGTTTTTTCAAATATATTGTAGTTGTAATTGTTTATATTGAACGTGGTGTATTAAAGATGGCTGGCTACTCACGGCGGCTCCGGATGCGTCAGTTCTAACACTTAGCAGGCTGCTGCTGCGTGGCAGTGTCTCCTGGACAGCCAGCAGATCGATTTCCTTTAGCCAATCATCTACAGGAGCACCTCCGACTCTTAAGCATTCCAGTCGAGCTTCGTACTTGGCCTTAGATATTTCAGAGCGACGGATTGTGGCACGCAATTCATCCATCTTTACTTCCAACTCAGGTCCGTTGGGTTCGTTCGGGTCCACCTACGTAAATAAGTTACAATACACTTACTATAAAAAATAAAGCCGTGAAGCTCCAAAACAGTTACAGAATCCAAGTATGGAAATTGAGCTTGGTACCAAATGTTTTGTAGAAGGAACGAGAAGATTGTGAAGTGATTCTCATTATGGTTCATCGACCAAATATTTTAATAGTGACTTCTATGAATAAAATTTCCCAATGAAATGAAAAATTCAAAATCATTCTAACATTCTGAGTGCAGTAAAACACAATGTTTATGGGGCCATAGCCCTGAAAATGAGAGCCTTAGGAAATCTTAATATCTATCTCTCTATGTAGAATCATTTACTTTTTATGTAAAGACGAGTGAACGAGCCCACGGCTCACCTGCTGTTAAATGGTTACTGGAGTCTTTAAATGTGAATATCACAATTTCCATTGTGTAGAATAGTCACTGCTCACCCTTCAAAGCGGAATCTATATACATATAATACGCTTACAATATGCCATACCAGCAGTTAAGTGGATCCCGTATGCTAACTTGTAGTAGGCACTAAGCAATTTTACAATACAATAGGTTGTCAGCAGCTGACATCGATATGAACCGACCTTTCATTAAGAGTCACGCGAAGCGATAGTGCGCCTGTCAGTAGCATGTCAAAAATGTGAACGTCTAAAATTTAATCAACAATTTTCTAGAAAACTTTTTTTTCTATTGTGAAGGGCTGACGTTACATTCAGTTTTCTTTTGCCTATGGATACTTTTAGCTTAGAATTGAGCTAGTTATGTCAAGATATTGATGCCCTCTTAATGATATCCAAGTATGACTGATCAAGATTTCCAAAATCACTAGTGCTGAAGCAAGTAAAGACAAAGTTTGATTTTGAGAAATTCTTTAATATAGTACAAAACAGATGATAGATGCGAATTCTTTTACCTTATGTCCAGACTCCCGCATAGCTTGATAAGAACTGATTTTGCGATTCGCATCCCGGACGAGGGATGCCTCGCGAACTACGCGGGTGGCCCAGCGGCGAGCCTCTTGAGCCAAAGTGACAGCCACGGATTCGTGCTCCATGGTGATAGTGTCAATCGGATCATTGTCGCAAGGCTCGAACTCGTACTGTTACGGAATTAATGAATCAATAAAGTACTTAGGAACATCAATCGGAATTATATTAAAGTAGAACGATTCTTTTCTTTTTTAATACGCTTTTATTAGCTTCAGACGTATGTATGTTTGTAACGGAATCTTTGAACATGATTTTTCAAAACGTCGGATTAACTCGAAATTTGGTATACTTATTAAGGACCGATTGAAAAAAAAAGATTGAAAAAATTGAAATTCAACTAAAAAATTGCAAATAAATAATAGTTTAAAAAAACTAACAAAATACGTTTTTATAGAAAATCCAACTAAAAAATAGAAAATAAATTTCAATAATGCATGTATCAGTAAGTAGTTATAAATATTTTATGAACAGATATGAGTAGAAGAGTTATTTTGATAATATCCCGAAAAGCACCCCACGCTTTTTTACAATAAAATAATTTTTTTTTACACTATTTTTAATTCAAATTTATTAAAATTTATTTTCTATTCTTTAGTTGGGATTTTCTATAAAAGCGTATTTTGTTAGTTTTTTTAAATAATTTTTTTTTTTTTTACTAATCATTCTTACATAAGTTGTGAATATATTATCGTAATAAAGACGAGTTCCAAATTCCTCGTGTGAATTGAACTGCTCTCATGATACGTTTTAAATTGTATTATTTTGTTATTATATCTCACAGATGTTTACGGTAAAGTCGAATTGAAAGTGGAGTTATTGGAGGCTTTTTCAAAAATTCAGTACGTGTCTAATAATTTATAATCGTACTGGATCTATATTATAATCTTATAGCTATTAATCTTAGAGCTAATAATCTACAACTACTCCAATAGTTTGAAATGTTTTACTGACGTTGATTTCCTAGCCAAAAAATTGAAGCATTTAAAATGAAATCTTCATGTTCTAATATCATCGTGTTAATGCATCACATAGCAAAAATATATACATCATTACGTATTAGATCACGTCACGCTGTGGTTTGCACGGCATTAATTACCGTTTAGGTCAATATTAGAATAGCCGTGCATGTGTTTGACGATAGCCAACAATGAGTGCGCTCTCGCCTCTTTGTCACAGATGCAAATTAGTCTGACCGAAGACCGAGTCTACACCGAAACGTTGGGATTAATTAACGCTCTACATAGCTCTACTATAAATTAAACAGCCTACATTTTAGTTTGTGGTTTTTAATCTGGTTCATTTGGATACCTAATAAATAATTTAATACGAACTATCAGTGAAGATTTTGCATGTACTTGGAAATTTGAAGAATATAAAGGTTATATTTATAAACATAAAAGATATAGATTTACAAAATAAATGTACAGATTATTTTACAAATTTGTTTAAAAAATTATATTGTATGATTTCTCTATGTGTGTATTGAGTGCAATGTGTTGCAGAAGTGTATTTCTCTTGTTGGTTAGTTGTCAATTTGTTTTAAACTGTCTTACCTGGATATGTTGCTTCAGCACTGGATAATATAAATACAAGCATTGCAAGTTATATTCCCTGGTCAGCTGCTGCGCTTGATCCCTGATCTTCCCAAATGAGTGCTGGGTGGCAGAGCAAGTCAAGAGTTCCGTGCGTCCCATAAGCGTAAGGTACTCAGAAACCTTCTCGTACACCGAGGACTCCATGTTTTGCATGCAAGTCTGAAGATCCACTAGGAAGTAGCGATTCTGAGAAGATAATCTATTCTTACCATCTTTTATAAAGGGCCTATGAATTCCGTTGATTCAATCTCAATACATATTTAACGTCCGTCTGGTGTAGTGGTAAGTGACATGGTCACTACACTAGGGGGTCGCGGGTTCGAATCCCGTCAAGGGAAGATATTTGTATGATAAATATAAATGTCTTTTCCAGGGTTATGGATGTATATTAAATATATGTATGTGTATAATAAAAATCTTACATTTATTTCCGATATCTGGTACCTGTAACACAAGTTCTTTACGAACTTATCACGGGACCAGTTAACGTGGCGTGATTGTTAGTAAAATATTTATTTATTTATTTATTTATATGTATTTAGATAGTTGATTGCCGGATTGATTTGCTTAATAATAAATAGCGATATTATTTTCATAGTTATTTAAATCCTCCTCAAATTTTACAGAATGACACAATTAATAAACAATATAATTTATTTAGTACTATTAAATGGTTTATTCTAACTTAAGCAAACACCTCAAGTTTCGCTTATATAAACATAAATTAAACAGTAATCAGAAATGAACTGTGTATTGAGGAACAATTGTTTTCTCTGGCGTAATTAGTCTTTGATAACTCTTGAGCGTTTTCTTAGTTCTAGAATAAAACGATACTAAATATATTATATTTAAAGCTTAGCTTGTAGTAGTTTTCAATACATTCTTTGGGCTTTCTAATTGAGGCACTGAAAATTTTATACGTGTTTTAAATATGGAATATGGAATTTAATTCTAAAATAAAATTTATTATTATTATTAAATTCCGAACCTGGTGAGCATTAGCAGCTGCAATGCTTAGAATATAATCGTTCCTGGCGCCAGTGGATTTCTCCTCCAGCTGATCACGACGGGACGAAACCTTGGCGCTGTTCTTCTGCAGCGAAGTAATCGATTGGAAGAACGATCCTTTTTTCTTCTTCAACCTGGTAGGAACGATGCTTTTAAACCTCTAATAATCGGGCTCTATGTTTCTATAATTCATTTGACAAAATAACTATACAGCATCTACTTAATACTATAATAATAAACAAAGTGTAGCTTTGTATGAGCTACTGGCGCATTGCCTTACGCATTTCAAATAATATCTTAGCATACATTCGGAAGTTGGTAAATAAATGGAAGGAGCGCTGCTGTTTCGTAATAGTAATCACAGTATAGGTACTTACAGGCTAAAAGGAAGAATATACCACAGTTAGGAGCACGCAATGCAATAGGGGGTAGGGGGCTTGGAACATGCAGAAACGGACTCATAACATACAAAAATTAAAAATAAATACATTCATGTACATCGATGTGAAATAGAATATGTTACCAATATTTATCTACAACTAGTTCATTCCTTTCTGGCGGTTGATGTTTCGGTGATCCCCGGGAGCTACTCGGTTTACTGGATAAAATTAACTCAAATGTATTATCGTAATGAATATCTCACAGTATATTAAATAGTAAATGAGAGCGATTTTTGCTTGAATTCTCATCTGTAAATGTTTAAAAATTCAAAATATTATTTGTCTATTCAGTGCCTTTCTGCTGCCGTAAAAGCAAAGCCTTCTGTTATTTACATAATAATCCAGATCAATTTATCTTGATGTATATGGTTTTTTTTATTAACTCTTGTCACATCCAATTTCCAGAGTATCTGAATTTGAAATATAATGTTGCGACAATTTCAAACTAATTTGAACCCACTCACATACACACAATAACGTAGCTGCCCAATAATTCAATTATTGTTGTACTCAGCAGCTTTTGACGTGGACATTCTCAAATATTGAAGTGCTTTGCTTTAGGGCAACCTAAAAGCATGTCATTTACTGCACTTCCTTTAACCATATCACATCAGACAATACCAAATATGGTTAATTAATAATGGGATAATGCAAAAATGATCGTCACGAAAAAGCAAAATGAGAGATTTTATTTTATAAACAATGTTAATTGAACGTGACCCTTTAAAATATTAGACATAAAGTGTTTACTGATGATTCAACTTGGCTTAGCTTAAAATAAAAAGCAACTCCACAGTAATTGAATATTGTGAACAACACAATGCATTTCCGCACAAAACTTGTAGTTTATCATTGAAAACTTACATGTGAAAACCCGAGGGAATACGTGAGAACAAAAAAGACACTTCTTATATTTTTGTTTTCGACTAGTAAATTATTTTATACTTCGATGTTTTAGGTTCAGATTTCTAAAATGAACAACGGTACGAGTATGTCGTTTTACTCTAATATATTTTGAATTTCAATGGTTTGCGCAGCTGAAACTTGTTTTCAAGAGACTCCTTCTGTGAGTTCAGCTACAAGGGCTTGTATTTGAAAACAATATAATAATATGGTTCTTCAGAGATGTTTTTAAATTAATATTTTGTTTTAACGAAACGGGTTTCTTCAAATTCCATATTTTTCCATTCATCTTCTTGGCATTTTAGTTTATAATTTTTTATAACAGCAAAATATTTACATACATTTAAATTTTTGAACAGTCCGACCCTTCTATTTTTATGATTTTATTATTCGAATTTTATGTTTGTATTGACTGTCGTTGGTTTTCCGAGGCTGTTAGCCATTTCATTCGTTTTGTGAGCAATTTCAAAAACCGATAATGCGTTTACCGTTTCAGTCAGATGCAAAATGAATGCCAAAACTGTGTTTATTGAAAGAAAATAAATCCGAACAATTTTGTGTTTTTGAAAATAAACTGAATCCATTTAAAAATGTACATAATTATCGATAGATTCACTTTTATATCATTTCACGTAACATATTGTGTTGTTTTATTTATTTACGGAAACATGCGGAGTACATTTTTTCTCTTTATTGAGTTAAAATTTGTTATAAGTTTTTGAAACTAGTTTTATTTTTAAGCCAATTCAAGTTTTTTTAATTAAAAAATTTAGAAAAAACGTTTCTTGCCTGATTAGTTCTTCCATCATCATTCGTAGTCATCCACTGCTTGACATAAGCCTAATCTACATCATTGAGCCGATCCTCCCCCTTTCCTTATCTATTCTATTTCATATCAGATAAGTTCTATTCGTGTTTTATTAAACTGTATTCCGTAACGGACATTAACATGTCCATACCGCCTACTTACCATTTTTTTTATAAGTATAAAATTAAGTTCCTGTCTCGAAATTTTCACACTATCTAAAACTAGCACACTAGCTCTACAATGAATGCAGTGAGTAAACGTTAAGTGACCAATAATTTCGTACATTTTGCGTTTAAATATTTAGGGTTCGACAAAAAGTGAAAATATTTCAAATGCAAAAAACATTATATCGAGTAATCATAATACGTTGTTATGCGGAAATCCATTAGCTCAAAAACTTCTCACTTTGTCTTTTAGCACAGAAAAGGAACAGTATTGATGCATGTTCTAAAAAAAATCCAAAAAATATTCTAGTATTCAACGCTTTCATTATAATTAAGCTGAAAAAATACGTAATTAAGCACGCAAGATTATTTGACTTGGAAATATCAAAAAAGTTTTAACTTCAATCCGTCAAAGGTGCAGAAACAGCTAAAAAACGATCTTTCAAATAATTCTAAATAGACTCGTATGTAAAATTCAGCTCTTCGAATCTGCGTGATTGTATTTTCAATGCATAAAATGCAAATATAAACAGGACTTAACATATCTATGACGGCGTATTACTTATATGGGAATGCAGTCATGTAAGCGAAGGCTCTGCACCGATATCCGAACAAATAGCTCGACGACTTCCCTATCTTTTCCTCCGTTTGTATGTGATTCAATTCAAGAGCACTTAAGTGAGAAGCTTTTGACTGAGCAATTTTAAAATAACGTACGCCGCTTAGCTCTTTTGTTGGGAATGCCTCGACTTACTTCTCCTCGATGTCTTTAGCTTTGTCGCGCACGTCATGAGCAGTATGCTCCTCGTCGAAGTACAGCTTCTTGGTCTTGTCAACTTCACCTACAGTCATCTGCAGCTCCTTGTGGGCTTGAGCAAGGCCCTCCGTAAACTGAACGATAAATATTTTCTTTCATCAGTTTCTACTTGAAGGGAAATTAAAACATAATTCCTAATGACGAATTTCTAAAAGTAACAAATTATTGGGTTGTTCAGAAAGTAATTTCGTTTTTTTTTGTGTGGAAACGAATCCATATATCGAGCTTCGAGGACAATCCCAGCCCTTTCAAGTGGTCATAAACTGTTGAATTTGATAAATTTAACCTCAATCCGATCTTACGTGTTGTTAATTTTTTATTTTTATTGCTTAGATGAGTGGCCGAGCTCACGACCCACCTGGTGTTAAGTGGTTACTGGAGCCCATAGTTTTTATTACATGATGTTGTTTCCTTCACTGTGGAAGTAAATCGTAAACATTTGTTGAGTACATATTTCATTAGAAAAATTGGTACCCGCCTGAGATTCGGATACGGGTGCATCGCACAACACGAATGCACCGGACGTCTTATCCGTTAGGCCACGACGACTTTCAAACTGTTATTCGCCGGTTCGCATCAACTAATGTCTTTATCGCGTCTTTATCAGCTTCAACCGGCCTTCCCGAACGTGGTGCATCTTCGACATCAAAATTGCCGTATCAAAATTTACCGAACCAGTTCTGGCGCTGGCGTACTGTCAACACACCTTCTCCATACACATCGGTCAATTTCTTTTTGGCTTGACCAGCATTTTTACCCTTTCTGTAGTAAAAGAGTAAAATATATCGAAAATGCTGCTTATCACTCTCCATATTTAAAAGGGCACCAACCAAAAACTACTGCGTTGAATTAATTGGAATTTTTCACACACAAGCCTTGCTATATAAGCTCTCAAAGCATATAAAAATTATACGGCCTCAATGTGAAGTTGGGTGCAAAAAAATACAATTAAATCCTCTGTCGGGAAAAAACGAAATCACTTTCCGAACAACCTATTAGTTTGTTATTTGAAAATAAAATCTTAATTGCTGTCTCTATCCAAGAAAGGTCAATCCTAATTCAGTCACTTGGTATTAATTGATAACGTTTACGCATAAACTAATTATAGTACAAACAATATAAGCTTAACGTTAAGCCCAATCACATGTCAGGTTTGCGAGAACCGTGCCAGCTTAATAGCTCAACGGCATTTATCATCTGCAACCAGCTAAATATATACATGCATGCAACATGATAATATGGGAATTGCCGACAATGAATGTTCGTAACAGCACAGTTAATTCCTATGCGAGGTGTTTCATGTTATTGTTTATTGTGATTAATTTCCCCATTCATAGTCACAATTGATGCATGCTATAATATTTACGAAATAATTAATGCAATTCAGAAATGTACATATTCGTTTCGTCAATAAAATATTATTTATATAAATGATTTAATTGAGGCTCCCTATTTGCTTTCGCCGAACTCGTCGGCTATGAGTTCGACGAGTGAAGTAACCCAGATCTTCTTAGTGGGTCGCGATTCCGATCCGACGGTAGATTCTGCGAATCACTGCTCTTGCTACGGCTAACAATTTCTCCCTCCCAAATGTTCCCCTTATCCTAAAAGAACTTCCTGAAATCAATGGATGGCTTATTCCGGCGTGGTCGGCCGGGAGCCGGCTTATCTAGTGTCGGTGATATTGGCTGTGGCGTACTAAACTGTGGGCTATTTCTTCCACTGGAAGGTGAGCAGCTGGTGGGAGTTACGGGCTCTGCTGATTGTGGGCTTATAGTGGCAGTAATTTGATCTTGGTCAGCACTGCCCATAGTCTCCGCTTCCACAGACTGCGTCGTTCCTGCTGGCTGGCAGGTATGCGATGATGACGATGACCCTACTTCTGCTGGTGGAGCTGATCCTGTTGCTGTCACTAAAGCCCCTTTAGATCCAGCTGTTGTTGCCTCGCTCCCGCAGTCGCTGTTCCGTGGATCTGGTATATCCCATACGTTGAATGTGTGAGAGTTTTCTGAAGGTCCACTCTCCCCTTTAAACACGTATAGTTGATTTTTATGCCTTTTAATAATCTTATTTTGATCTGGAAAACTGATGTCGTACATAACTTTGCCTGTCTTTTTTATCACAACCCCTTTTGCCCAGTAACTTTTCGACTTATTAATATATTGTTTGAACCATACTTGTTCCCCCGGCTCTAAGTCTCTGGTAATTTTGCCACCATAATTCTTAGCCTGTGAGGACTGTTTGTTACTGATTAGCAAGGGTAACTCGGATTGCGAGGGCGATGTGTTTACCGTTAACAAGTCTAACCGCGAGCGGAGTGGATGACCAAAAACCAACTGAGCCGGAGACGTTCCCGTGGTACTATTTACCGAATTACGATAATCAAAAAGGAATTTCGCTAATCGTATCGGAATTTCATCAGTTCTACACCCAGACGAAAAAATAGTTTTGATACCTTTTTTAACAATTTTAACAAATGATTCCGCCTGTCCATTACTCGACGGATGGTATACTGGAGAAAATAATTGTGTTATGTCATTTAACATACAAAAATTGCTAAACTCCTGGGAAGCAAAAGCGGTTCCGTTGTCACTCACTATAGTTTTAGGTACCCCAAACCTTGACATGAATTCGCATAATTTCGCGATTACGGCTTTAGAGGAGCTATTGCTATTCATGTCATAGCATTCTATCCACTTAGAGTATGCATCTACTATTATTAAGTAAACTTTGTTATTTAATGGACCGAAAAAATCTAAATGAATCCTATGAAAAGCGGCATCAGGATAGGGCCAAGGTGCAAGGGCCGCGCGCGGTGGTGACGGGCGCAGTTGTGCGCACACCCGGCACGTCCCTGCCAGTTTCTCTAGCTCAGCGTCTATACCCGGAAACCACAATCTACTGCGAGCGTCTGCCTTCATTTTAACGATACCAAAGTGCGAGCTGTGTAGTTCTTCCAATATTCTGCCGCGTACACTTTGTGGAATAATTACTTTGTGACCACGCATGAGAATACCATTTTCTAGTGCGATATCGTTTCGACATAAGTAATAAGGCTTAAGACTCTGATTTGATAGCATCGATAACTTACGTGGCCAGCCGTTAGCTACATACTTAGCTACGCTCTTTAGTATGGGGTCGCACGCCGTCTCTCGCTGCAGATCTTGCCTCGTGACTGGCAGGCATCCCTCCACTGCGAAACTGATATGCTCGTACGCTGCTACCTCGTCCCGCACGCCTTCCTCACCTTCGGAACCCGGTTTTGCTACGGGTAGGGCCCGCGATAAGAAGTCAGCTGTGTTCGATGCGCTGTTTACATATTCTATATTATAGTTATATGCGCTTAAGAATATTGCATAACGTTGTAATCGATTAGCTGTTACTTCTGGTATACCTCTATTATTTCCGAAAATTACCGTAAGCGGCTTATGGTCCGTACGCAAAGTAAAAGGTTCCGACCTACCATAAAGGAATTGGTGGAACTTTTTCACACCAAATATTATAGCAGTCGCCTCCTTTTGGATTTGTGAATATTTTTTTTCTGCAGGCGTTAGCGAGCGAGATGCGTACGACACCGGTCTCTCGACCCCGTTCCGATCCTCCTGTGACAGGATAGCACCTAACCCGACCGGGGACGCATCTACAGTCACGATTGTTTTTGCATCAGTAATAAAATGTGCTAACACCTGTTCCGATGCTAACATTTTCTTTACGCAAGTGAAAGCCGCGTCTTGCTCATAGTTCCAATGCCATTTGACGCCTTTTTGTAATAAGAAGTGTAATGGGCTTAATATAGACGATGCGTTTGGGACAAAATTCCTATAGTAGTTTATAAGCCCTAAAAATGATTGTAGCTCGTTTAAATTTTTTGGAATAGCGGCATCTAAAATTGCTTTTACTTTGTCTGGGTTTTTTCTTATCCCGTTTTTATCTATGGTGTAGCCTAAGTATGATACTTCGTTTTGGAAAAATGCGCACTTGTCCTTACGCAGGGTCAAGCCCGCATCCTGTAGACGACACAAAACTTCTTTTAATTTTCGTTCGTGCAGAACCCTATTTTCAGCAGTGAGTACCAGGTCGTCCAAGTAACAATACACGCCCTCCATGTCCCCTACCAACGATTCCATGGCCCGTTGAAAGATAGCTGGCGCGCTCGACAAACCGAACACTAACCGAGTATAATTAAATAGGCCACGCGGGGTGTTAATGCATGTTAATTTTTGTGATTTTTTATTAATTCTAAATTGCATATACGCCATAGACAAGTCTAGCTTACTGTACTCCTCACCGTTATGAAGTTTAGTAAACAGTTCTTGAACCGATGGTAGAGGATATCTCTCCACGAGTAGTTGTTTGTTGATTGTACAAGAATAATCCGCACAAATACGAACGCTGCCGTCATTTTTTAGAACCGGGACTATTGGTGAGGCATAGTCTGAGTACTTTACTGGTTCTAAAATATCCAAGGAAACCAACCGTTCGAGTTCTGCATTAATTCTATCTTTTAATGCAAAAGGTACCGGTCGCGACTTTATAAAAACCGGTTTCGCGTTATCTTTTAATGTTAAACTGATCTCGAATTTGTTAAAGCAACCTAGTTCGTTTGAAAATAACTTTGGAAATAGTTTTGTCAGTTCCATTACCGTAGTAACATCAACGTTTTTGCAATAACCAATGGTTGAAATGAGTTCTAATTTAAATTCACGCATAAAGTCGCGGCCTAGTAAGGGAGGTCCCCCATCCCGAACAACGTAGATACTCAATAACGCTAAGTGTTTCAAATACTCGACATTCATATTAAGTACCCCTATTATGTTCAAGGTACCCCCATCATACGTAAATAATTTTTTCGCTGGTGGTGACAACGGAACCCCGGAAAACCAACGCTTGTATGTCTTTTCGGATATAACAGACACAGGGGAACCACTGTCAATTTCGCATCTAAATTTACGACCTTCTAAACACACGGTCTCGTACAAAGGCTCACCATTTGGACAACTTATATTTTTCAAAAACTCACCGTCATCGCCCTCGTCATCGTCGTTACCTTGCTCCAAGTGCTTCACTTTGTTCC